GTGATTGGCTCACCTTGCATCGGCGCATGGGGCATGTGGCCCTGCCCATCTTGCAGCAGCTAGTGAAGAATGAGATGGTTGCTGGCATACGTGTGAAGGGGGAGCCCGATGAGGTGCTTGGCTGCCCGACGTGCATTCAAGCCAAGTTCACCCGGTTTCCGTTCCCTAGTTCGGAGGCAACGGCAAAGGCACCGCTTGATGAGGTGGTGATGGACGTGGTGGGCCCCCTGAAGCTTGGAGCTGCTGGAGCTGAGTATTTTCTCACCATTGTCGACGTCTACACCCGCATGACTTGGGTGTACGTGCTGGCCAAGAAGAGCGACGTGGCTGAAACGTTGAAGACGGATTGGTTCCCGATGGTGGAGCGGCAACAAGACCGTCTAGTCAAGTCAATCCGCACCGATCGAGGGGGAGAGTTCCTGAGCAAGGAGTTTGGGTTGTGGCTGAAGAAGAATGGTATTCGGCACTTCCTCACCATGCCATACTCCCCTGCAATGAACGGAATCGCCGAGCGAGCGAACCGCACAATCACGGAGGCGGCACGCGGGTTGCTCATTGAAGCCGGGCTACCCGACTATTTTTGGCCTGATGCGGTGCGGAGCGCGTGTGTGGCCAAGAACAGAGCCTTGACTCATGTGGGAGCAGACAAATGGGTGCCCTATGTGGAGTGGCTAGGAAGGAAGCCAAAGGTGGATATGCTTCGAGTGTTCGGGTGCATGTGCATGGCGCTCGTGCCTAAGCATCTTCGGCACAACAAGCTTGGTGCCAAGGCGGTGTGGGCCGTGCACTTGGGCATGGCTCAAAAAAGCAAGGGATGGCTTCTTTGGGACCCATTCACCAAGAAGTTCTTGGTGAGCAGGGACTGCAAGTTCATGGAGAACTTCATGTACAAGGATTGGAAGGCGGAGAATGAGGCGAAGATAGGCGTGCGGTTTGGGGAGGTGAAGAGTTCCGGTTTGGAGCATGTGGAGCTGCCTTTGGAACTGAGCAGCGGCAGCACAACCACAAGGCAATCCTCCCTTGTGAATGGGGGAGAGGAGGCCAATGATGCAGAGGAAGAAGAGGAGGAGGTGCAGCAAGTGAGCGAGCGTGCACCGTCACTTCCTTCCCGTACTACGAGTGCTCCACGGATTCGAGCCACACCGCAGCAACGCCAAGGCCTTCAAGTCCCTGCAGCTGAGGAGGAAGGAAGGGGGAAGAGGAGAGTTCAACCCCCTAATAGGCTGACCTATGATGCGCCGGGAAAGCAGGGCAAGACAGCCCTGGCCGGAGCGGCAATGATGGTCGGAGACGACGAGGAGAGTGACTACGAGGAGTGTGCCTTCGCGTTCTTCTCTCCGGTGGAGATGCCGGGAGAACCAGCAACTCTCAAGGAGGCTTTGGAGAGTAGTGATGCTGAGGAGTGGAAGAAGGCCATGGAGAGTGAGCTGAAGAGCATCGAGAAGAATGACACGTTTGAATTGGTGGAGCTACCGGAGGGGCGTACGGCGATAACGTCCAAGTGGCTCTTCAAAATCAAGTCGGATGCCGACGGCAAGATCGAGCGCTACAAGTCTAGGCTTGTAGCCAAGGGGTACCAGCAGAAGGACAAGGTGGACTTCAAGGAGCTGTTTGCCCCTGTGGTGAAGCCGACGACGCTGCGAACCCTATTCGCGGGAGCCGCCATCAAAGGATGGGTAGTAAAGCAAATGGACATCGTAACGGCATTCCTTAACGGCATCCTTGAGGAGGAGATTTTTATGGCGCAGCCAGAGGGGTTTGATGATGGTAGTGGCAGAGTGTGGAAGCTGAAGAAGGCCCTCTATGGGCTGAAGCAGGCCCCTAGGCAATGGTACATGAAGCTGCGCGAAGTGTTGGAGGGGATCGGCTTCACTCCCTCAACGGCCGATCACTCCTTGTTCATGCTTGGCGAGGGAGAGCAGAGGAGTTTCATGGTGGTTTATGTGGATGACATCCTCATTTTCTCACCCTCTTCTGACCTTGTGAAGGAGGTGATGCTGAAGCTTCAAGACAAGTTCAAGTGCAAGGCCCTTGGTGACGTGAGCTTCTACCTTGGGCTCCACATCGAACGAGATGTGGAGAAGCGGTGCATGCGGGTGCATCAACGAAAGTACCTGGAGGCATTGGCTGCCAACTTTGGGCAGAGTGAAGGCCATGTGGCTACACCCTTTCCCTCTGGGTTCAAGTGTGTGAAGGGACCAGAGGAGGAGAGCGTTGGTGAAGAGGAGAGGCGCCGATTTCACTCGTTGGTGGGCAGCCTCATGTATGCGGCGGTAAACACCCGACCGGATGTCGCGTTTGCTACCGGGCAGCTGGCTAGGGTTGTGCAATGCCCTAATGAGGAGCAGGTAGCAGCTGGAATGAGGGTGGCCAAGTATCTTGGCCAAACACCGACCGTTGGGCTGCAATACTCGGCGGCGGCACAAAGGCGCCAAAAGGGCGCGGATGGTGTTGAACCCGGGCGTTTGTTCCTCACCGCCTACTCGGATGCTTCATATGCATCAGAACCAGAGGACATGACAAGTGTGGGAGGCTTCATATGCTGTGTTGGTGGAGGCCCAACTGCTTAGGAGAGCAAGAAGCAGGTTGACCAAGCTTTGAGCTCGGTGGAGTCCGAGTACATGGCACTCTTCCGTGCCGTACGGGAGATTGTGTGGCAGCGGCGTTTGTTGGCTGAATTGGGGGAGGAGCAGCAAGGACCTACCCTACTGTACTGTGACAGCCAGGGTGCCATTGCTCTTGCTAAGAACCCTGTGTTGCATGGACTCACGAAGCACATGAGGGTGAAGTGGCATTGGACGAGGAGCATGGTAACCGCGGGTGAAGTTGAGTTGCGCTACGTGAAGACCACGGGGCAGCCGGCTGACATGATGACCAAGAGGCTGGTGGAGCAGCAGCATTAGAAGTGTTGCAAGCTGGCTGGGATGGCTCTGAACTGAGAGAGCAACATATCCTAAGGCCAACAATCCGAGGGGGAGTTTGTTGGTGCAACCCTACGGTTTGCACTCGGCTTGTTGTCCGTGTGCGTGAATGTGTGTGTGTATGGAATGGTATGAGGGCATGGGATAATATATATTTCATGCTTATAATTGTGTGTGAATGTTGAGTCATGATGTCGAGTGTGTGTGTCGAGTCAATAGCGAGTTATCGCTAGACGCGTGTTACGCGGTCGTTTGTGTCTCGCGCGCGGTTTCTATTTTGTCGTGCGCGGTTTCTATTTTGTCCTGTGTCGAACGTTCGGCGTGTCGCAGGTGTGTGCAGCAGACCCATCAAGAACTCAAGGATGAGTTTGTGATGAAGAGCCCGAGCCTTGGTGTCAAGCCTCAAGTGATTTCGAAGCTCGCCAAAAAGGGTACACCTCAAGATATTGAAGATAGTTACATTACTTTGTGTAGTGTAACATTTCACTTGGTGTAGGCCCTAGTGAAGGGTAGTTTCGAGACCCTTCGTGGTTGGGGACAGTGTGGCACTGTTCCACATCACTGTACCTCGGCTCTTGGGGTTTGTAGGAGCTGGGAGTCATTCCCAACTCGTAACTCTTCCTATCTTGTGTTCTAAGACTATAGTGGCTGCCATAGTACCGTTCGTTCAAACCGACGCTGTGTCGTCAATTCTTTATCAAATCGTGCAATCTAAATTGCTAATTGTAGACGACGTGAAGACGCTCCAGATCCAATTTGAATCAAGTCATTTGCAGCTGTGAGCAGAACGCTATCAACGTTTGAAGCCGCTGTGCAGAAATCCGTCTGTGCTCTCTATCTTTCGTTTTAGGCACATTCAAGCCTATTGTGACTATAACATTTAATAGTTAAGGACTACACCAGAGTCCGAAGGAGCAGAGTCAACTTGATGCCAAGATATTTTTCTTCCCTTCACTGTTTGAAAAAAGAAAGATATTATCTCCCGATATCGATCTCCCACAGGCCGATATTGGCGTTAGTACGCAGCACCACCGACCAATCGCCTTTCCTCGTCCGTACCATCCGCGCAGGTTCGGGAGGTATCACCCGCGGCACCACAGTGCCGAGTCTGGCAGGCCGTGCCGAGGCTGCGACAGTTAATACTCCCAGCGCGGTCGATCCAAGCCAACCCAGCTTATCAGAGTAGACTCGGGGTCTGAGTTCCGAGTCTTGACTCGTCGTGAAGCGCTGAAGCTCAACCCGGTAGCAGTACCCGGCAGCAGTACTACTACGCCGATGTCATTTTGTCAGGGTAACTGCGCAAGGAGAGAGTAGGGATGCTCGCTGCGAGATTCACGCATTTGCACGCTCGCACGGACTGACTGACCGACGGCTACGCACGTCGCTCCCCCGCCAAGGGTGCGCTGTAGTAGTGCGCGCGCGCACGCAGGCGCGGGGGACGAAAGGTCCGTCCGCCCCCCGTCTCCGCCTTGCGCCGCCTCCGCTGCGGCGGGGCTTCGCTTCCGCTCGATTATAGTCTCCCGACGGCACCGCACGGCGGTGAATAGAGAGCCACGCACGACCCTCCCCCGAGAGCTAGTAGTAGTACGAGCATCTCCTTCCTTCCTTTCAGCCTCGCCCCTCGCCTTGTTCATCTTGTACTTCAAGCATGCAAGCTTTTCAATTACAATAGCCTCCACAGATAATTGCTCATGATCGGCAGCGCGTGAAATCCGCATAGCAGCACCCGAGCTTCACGAGCAGCGTGGATGATCCGATCGATCCGATCGACATCGCGATTCCAAGCAGCGCGCTCCATATCGGTCGCACATCCACGGCCCTCGGTCCTCCTCGTACCGATTCGCGCAGATTAGAGTACCGCCACACATTCACCGTCAATTTGAGACAGAATCCGTCAGCTCCGACAACGATTCCCGATAACGGTCTCAGTCCGTCAGCGATCGCCGTCAATCTCCGTCAATCTCCGTCAAATTCCGTCGATCTCCGTCAAACTCCGTCAAACTCCGTCAGTTTCCGTCAATCTCCGTCAGCGCACGTCGAGCGCTGCGCGCGACAATGGAGGGGAGCAGCAGCACGGCAATGTCAATGTCAATGGAGGCGCTACAGATGGCCATGGCGGATGACGTGGACCAATGGGATGCCGCGGACGACCCGCAGGGAACCCTCAGCATGATGGCCATGCTCCTGGGCGGCGGGGATGCGAGTTTGGGCGGCACGAACGACGTTTTCCTGGGCGGCAGTGACTTTCATTTGGGCGGCGCGAGTGACATGCTGCTGGGCGGCACGACATTAGAAGATCTTTTGAGTGGTGGTACTCACGGCGGTACCCACGGCGGCAATGGCGGCGGAATTGGCGGCAGGAATGGCGGCGACATGGTGCATGGCCAAGGCCTGGGTGGACCCGCTATGGGATCCGACAACCGCATTGCCAGCGTCGCCACCCACGGCCATCTGGACGGAGCTCTTCTTGAGGCTGCTTATAACGGGACGCAGCCCGTGGGGTATGATTATCACGCCAGTGCTCATGCCACTCACAATGATGGCTTTCTGCCTGCTAGCACCCACGGCGCTTCAGGTGGCCAGTGGGACGAGCAAGTGCGTGATGCTTCCATCGCTGCGCACAGCAGCGCCTTTGGTCTTGACTCGTCCGCTGTACTCGGTACAAACAGCCTCGTTGGTACGCACGCGCATTCCGCTATTGCTCCCGACCCAACCAACCTGTACATGCTGCAGCAGCAGCAGCAACACCAGCAGCAGCAACATCTGCTGCTCCATTCCGAGCCTCACGCACAGGCTTGGCCGGACCTGAAGCCACCGGCGGAGCTGAAGCCCGAGCGGAGGGCTCTTGTGGTGCAGTCGTGTGACTATAAGGGGGGCAAGGGCGGAAATCAAGGCGCCCGGTTGCTACAGATGCCGCCCGGGTTGCGCCTTGCACCGCCCGTAGTACCTGCGCTTGCCGCTGCTGCGACCACAACCAATGCCGCAGCTTTGGGGAACGCGCTTGACTCTGCTGCTTCTGCTGCTGCTGGCTCGAATGTGAACGCAAGTGCGCGCATGCTTCTCCCGCGGGCAAGCACGGCGCCTGCGAATGCTGCGCCTCTGGGGAGTGCAGCAACGGCGGAGGTGGCAGTGGGGAACGAACCCTTTCCTGACAACGCCAGCGGTGCCATGGCGTGCGGCATGTGGCGCAGCCACAGCAGCAGCAGCCAGAGCAGGCCGGTGGCCGTTTGGGCGAGCAAGGGCGGAGGAGCGGGCGTGAGTGCCGTGGCTGAGGTGGGAGAGGTGCCCGCTACTGGCTTGCTGCATGGCCCGGGGGAGGGTCAGGGACTAGAAGGCGTTGCTACTGCCTTTGGTTCTCCTGCTGCTGCTGCTGGTGGTGCTGCTGCTGCTGCTGCTGCTGGCAGTGGTGGTGAGAGTGCAGCACGGGCCGGAATGCGCAAGAGTCGCAGCAGCAGCAGCGCCAGGCCGCGTGTCACTCAACTGGGCGCACGGGGAGGCAGCAAGCGAGCAACAGCAGCAGCAACCGGCACCGGCATGAGCCGAAGCCGCAGCAGCCATGTGCTGCTCACCACTCCTGCTGATGCCTCCACGCCTGCCGCCTCCTCTCCTGCCCCTGCCGCTCCTGCTCCTCCTTCCCACTCTCCTCCTCTTCCTGCTGCTGCGGCGGCCGCTGCTGTTCCCAGCATTGGTGGAGTGCTGAATACTGGCGAGGCAGGCCCCGGCTCACCAGAGTCGGATCTCCCGGCCTTCCAGCGGGAGAACCAGGCCTTGGCTCTGGCGCTGCTGCGGGACGCTGACCTCTGCTTCTCGCCTCCTTCCCAAACTGCTGCTTCTGCTGGTGGTGCTGTTGGTGGTGCTGCTACTGGTACAGCCGCTGCTGTTGGTGTTGTGGATCCTGCTGCGTGCTCCTACGACGTCAGCGGAAGCATGAGCGGAGGCGGGGCGGCAGGCGCCGGAATGAGCAGCTGCAGCCTGGGCGGCACGACCAGCATGGGCGGCGGCTCAAGCATGGGCGGGGCGGCGACGGGCGGCGACAGCAGCGACCCAGAGGATCGGGGGTTGGCAAAGGGCACGTGGTTACCGGAGGAGGACGGGGTGCTGATGGAGTATGTGCGCTGCCACGGCCCGCGCAACTGGGGCGCGCTCAGAGCCCGAGGGCTGCTGCGAAGGTCAGGGAAGAGCTGCCGCCTGCGATGGGTCAACCAACTCAAACCCGGCTTACAGGTGCGTTGCTTGAGTCGCTCGGAGAGGTGAGTGAGTCAGCTCTCATTGTCACTTGTGAAGGTTCTGAGAACGGCAACTGGGGCGCACTCAGAGCCAGAGGGCTGCTCAGGAGGTCGGGGAAAAGCTGCCACCTGCGATGGGTGAACCAGCTCAAACCCGGCCTGCAGGTGGGTTTTCTTAAGTTGGTATGGAAGTCGTATAACAGCTCAATTAGTCAGATTGAAAAGGGTAACTTCTGTGAGTCGACTCAAAAAAAGGTGGCATTTGAGTTCGCGTGAAAGCTGTTGCCTGCGATGGGTCAACAAGCTCAAGGGGGGCCTGCAGGTGGGATGCTTGTGGCGGAGAGTCGGAGACAAAGCACAGATGTTGCCACCATCTGCAACAATGCGAACAATGCTGGGTTCGCATTGCACAACATCCGTCGCTCCGTCTTTCCCCTCCGCTCCCACCCTTTTACCCTACCTGCACACCCACAGAGGTACGGTGGCAAGGGGTGCAAGCGATTCAGTGAGGCCGAGGCAGGGGTGGTGCTGGCGCTGCAGAGGGCGGTGGGCAACAAGTGGGCGCACATCGCGCGCCACCTGCCTCATTCTCCTCCTCCCTGCCTCTTATTCCCCCTACCCCCCTGGCAGAGGTATGGAGGCAAGGGGTGCAAGAGGTTCAGCGAGGCCGAAGCGAGCGTGGTGCTGGCGCTCCAGAGAGCCGTGGGCAACAAGTGGGCGCACATCGCGCGCCACCTGCCCGGGCGCACCGACAACGACGTGAAGAACTTCTGGAACCTGCACCTCAAGCGCCAGGCCCGCCTGCGCGCACTGAGGGAAAGGCACGCATCTAAACCCCCATCTCTCCATGCCTCCCCTCTTTCCCTCTTCTCTACCCTTCTCCCCTACCCTGTTCTGGCAGAGGTACGGCGGCAAAGGGTGCAAGCGATTCAGTGAAGCAGAAGCAAGCGTGGTGTTGGCGCTGCAGCGGGCGGTGGGCAACAAGTGGGCGCACATCGCGCGCCACCTGCCCGGGCGCACCGACAACGATGTGAAGAACTTCTGGAACCTGCACCTCAAGCGACAGGCCCGGCTGCGCGCACGTGGGGGAGGGGCCCGGCTTGGTGGGGACGGGGATGAGGGGGAGCGGGACGGGGGGGATCAGGATAACCAGGCTGGTGGTAACCACACCGTTGGTAACCAGAGCGGTGGAGACCGGAAGGGTGATAAGCAGGCTGCTGGTGATGGTGGTGATGGGGGTGATCGGGGCAGCGACAGCAGCACAAGCAGTGGCAGCCCAAGGGGTGAGGCTGGGATGGCAGCGAGTGAGGGTGGGGCTCCTGGGGATTATAAGCCGAATGACATAGCAGGTACTCATGACATGACATGTGTGACTGTCAGGCCCCTTCCTCCTGCTCTCCCTGCGCCTGCTACCACTGCCCCTGGTGCTGCTGCTGGTGCTGCTACTCATGCCTCTGCTACCGGCGCCGATGCAGCAGCAATCAGCAATGAGGAGAATGGAAGCAAGAACGCAAACAAGGACACGACCACCAATGCTCCCACTCCCGCTGCCACAGAAGCAGGACCCGCGCCCGCCCCTGCTCTCCCCGTCCCCTCCTCCCTGCCGCCCCACATGCACCAACACGCCAAGCCACTCCTCCCACGCGCCCGCCCTTCTTCGTCCTCCGGGCGGCCTCTGTCGGCCGGCAGCCGCCCGTCGTCCTCGTCCGGGCGGCAGTCAAAGCTATCTTTACACCAGAGGCGCCTGCAGCGGAACTCCTCTGGTGGAGGGGGGAGCGGTCTTGGCTCTACTGGGGGTGGGGGTGGCGGGGGCTGTTCGCGCAATGGCAATGGCAACGGGGTTGACAGCATGACCGGCACTGCCGCTGCTGCTGCTGGTGCGACGGGGAGTGGCGATGAGGAGCGGGCAGCAGGGGGGACCAGGGAGGCCGGAGGGGAAGCTGGAGAAGAAGCTATGGACGTGGCGGGCGCTGGGAGCAGCCTCTCTGCTCTCAAGATAGGTGCGTCTCTAACCATCCCACCCCCTTGCTGCACGCAGGCATTGAGAACCCTCAAAAGCCGCTTACCCTTATGCCTGCCCGTACTGTGAATCGCCTGCTGGATTCGCCTCGCCCCTCCCCACTCACGCGCCCTCTCTCCCCCTCCCTTGCCTTCCCCTGTCCGCTGCAGGCGAGCCCAACGCGCAGCTGAACACGCTGATCAACCTAGAGGACTGGATCAACTCCCCCTCACCCGTCGCCGCTCCCCCTCGCCGCACGGCCTGCTCGCCTTTCCCCACTCACACGCCCTCTCTCCCCCTTCCCTGCCCCTCTTTGTCCGCTGCAGGCGAGCCCAACGCACAGCTGAACACGCTCATCAACCTAGAGGACTGGATCAACCCCCCTTCACCCGTCGTGTATTTTGAGGCGCCTCAAAATACACCTCAATGCGACTGGATCAACTCCCCTTCACTCGTCGCACGGCCTGCTCACTTTTCCCCACTCACACGCCCTCTCCTCCCTCCCCTGCCCTCCCCTGCCCCCTGCAGGCGAGCCCAACGCGCAGCTGAACACGCTCATCAACCTAGAGGACTGGATCAACTCCCCCTCACCCGCTGCTGCCGCCCCCCCTCGCCGCACGGGCTGCTCGCCGTTCTACATCAACCTCTCCCCCTCCGCCCGCCGCCTCCGCTCCCCACTCACACGCCCACTCTCCCCCTCCCCTGCCCTCCCCTGCCCTCCCCTGCCCCTCCCCTGTCCCCTGCCGGCGAGCCCAACGCGCAGCTGATCACGCTGATCAACCTAGAGGACTGGATCAACTCTCCTTCACCCGCTGCTGCCGCTCCCCCTCGCCGCACGGGCTGCTCGCCCTTCTACATCAACCTCTCCCCCTCCGCCCGCCGCCTCCGCTCCCCCGGCTCCCCCTCCCCGCGCTCCCTCTACCTCCGCTCCCCCTCCCCCCGCGCCCTCGCCTCCCCCCGCGCCCTCCCCTCCCCCCGCCACCGCGCCTCCCCAGCCCACCGGGTCTTCCCCCACCCTCCCCCCCACCCCTCGTCCCGCCACTCCCCTCTCTCCTCCTCCCCCTCCCCCCAAAACAACCACTCGGGGTCCCAGCCATCCCCTCAACCAGGAGGGCCATCCCCTCTCTCCTCCTCGTCTCCCCGCCCCCCCTCGCGGCCTCGGCACCCGTTCTCCTCCTCCTCCTTCTCGCCCTCTCACCCCACCGGCCATCGTTCACTGGGAAAGCACGCGGTGAGGAAAGGGAGGAAGGTGATCGTGTGAAGCAGCAGGGGCAGGAAGGCAGTGAGGAGGAAAGGCAGGCGCAACAGAGAAGTCAGGAGGCAGAAGAAACGCAGGATCAGGAGAATGAGGCTGGCAGAATGCAAACAGCAGTGGCAGAGGTTCGGCAGATATCCAGCCTGGCCAGTTACAGGGTGCCACGTGGCAAGGGGCTGCTGCAGCTTCCCAAACAGAACAAACCAGCTGGACAAGGTGGCTCACTGGCCTCTGCCCAGGAGCCACGTCAGCAGGATTCTCTTCCAGGTCAGGGAGAATTCCTGCCAGGTCAGCAGCTTCAGCCCATTCAGATGGAATCTAGCGGGCACAATCCCATTGTTCACGAACCCGCAGGAAACCCTGTTGCCGAGCCTCTTGCCGAGCCTACTGCCGAGCCTGCCTCTGGAGGCATGGGCAACCGTGAGAAGAGGGAGCGGAGTGTGTGTCGAAGTATGAGCATGGAGAGCAGTGTGCGAAGGAGCCAGCACCAGCAGGGCAGGAAGGGCTCTGGTGCTGCTGCCAGTGCCTCGCTACAAGCCGCTCCAAAAGAAGACGTGCTGGTTCCTTCAGTGCACCTGCAGCAGAAACTGCAAGATTACCAAGAGGCTCTGCAGTATCATGATCAGCAGCACCTTCACCAGCATCCCAATCAGCAGCTGCATCAGCAGCTTACTCAGCATGAGCATGGGCATGGGCATGGGCATGGGCAACAGCTGGTTCATGGACCTGGGCATGAGCATGAGCACAGGGAGACCACGAGTGGCACGAAGCATGGCAGCACGGGGGGAGGCACAGCACAAGCACCCATCCCCAAGCACCGTCGCCACCACACCACAGCAGCAGCACCACCCCTCGCTCACGGCACCGCCCCAGACACCACCACTGCTGCTGGTTACCCACGCCGTAACGCCGGTCCAACGCCATGCCTGAGTGCCTCTGAGCACAGCGCAGGGAGCCCTGCAGTCAGTCATGGGGCAATGAGTCATGAAGCAAGCCCAGCAGTGAGTTATGGAGCAAGCCAGCACACCGGCACAGGCCCAGGCCCAGGGCCAGCCCGGCACACCCATGCGCCTGCCCACTCCACTCACTCCGGCCCGTGTGCGAGTGCATGTGGGAGTGCGTGTGTGAGTGGCAGCAGCCCCAGTGCGAGCCTCAAGGCGAATGCAGGCATGCATGGCATTCGCGTGTGGCATTTAGGTGCGCCTGCTGCCGCCCTCGTGCCGCCCGTTATTGATGTCTCGGCTGCTGCCTCTCATGTGGGCATGGGGGCTGCTGGGGATGCTGGTGGGGTGATAGAGTATCACTGGGGTAGGGGGTTCATTCGAGCTGCTCCGTAGGCCCACTCCACACACTCGGGCCCGTGTGCGAGTGCGTGTGGGAGTGCGTGTGTGAGTGGCAGCAGCCCTCCCAGTGCGAGCCTCAAGGCGAATGCAGGCATGCATGGCATTCGCGTGTGGCACCTGGGCGCGCCTGCTGCCGCCCTCGTGCCGCCCGTTATTGATGTCTCTTCTGTTGCGGCTGCTGCCCATGTGGGTTTGGGGCAGTCTGGGGATGCTGGTGGGGTGATAGAGTACCATTGGGGTAGGGGATTCATTCGAGCTGCTCCGTAGGCTCTGGTCATGTGGTGTATTACGGTAAGTCTGGATTAGGAGGAAATAACTCGGTGTTATGAGATCCTGTAGTGGTTGATATGGTGTCTTGGTGAGTTGATCTGGCTGGCCTAGCTTGGTTAGAAAACAAAACTGCAACACAATAGCACGACTCCACTGGGGATCGAACCCAGAATCTCTGGTTCCGTAGACCAGCGCCTTATCCATTGGGCCATGGAGTCATGTCGAGTCGGCCTGCTAGGCTATTTTTATCTTTTCAATTCTGACTCGGGATAACTCGGCATACAACACCAGTTTCATTGTCACCCAATACTAGCCATGGCGTCCCTGCCCGACCACGGTGCGCTCCGTCCTCGCGGCGCATCGCCTGAGATCGACTGGGACAGGTCCGTCGAACCATCTTGCCCTCCCCCCACAGCTTTGCTCCCGCCGTCCACCGATCCCCCACCCGCTACACCCTCCGCTCATCCCCTCCTCCGTCCCACCTCCCCCAGATCATCTCCACATATCGCCTCCGTAGCCCGTCCCTCGCTACTAGCTCCCCGGCGCAATCCGCGTCGTTGATCTATCTCCTGGCCCTCTCGCCGTCGTTTATGTTTTCCAACTTTCCGCGCCGATCGTCCCCTCCCCTTGCGCAATTGAGCATCCCAAAAGTCTAGGGTATTGACGCGTCCTCACACCGCCATTTTTCTACACTATCTTTTCCAAAACCTTGTTTCCCCAACCCTCCCCATCCCCCGACCCCCCGCGTCCGCGGATCTCGCACGCGCGCGCGGCAGGTTGGACAAGACGCGCATGTTCGTGGTGGGCGCGGGGCTCTTCAGCGGGCTGACCGTTGCGCTCTACCCGCTCTCCGTCATCAAGACGCGCCTCCAGGTCTCCCCGCTCCCGCTCTCCGCCGCCCATGCCGCCCCCGCATCCGCTCCCCCTTCCGCTCCCGCTCCCGCTTCCGCTGGCGCGGGCGCGCCCGCTGCTTCCGCAAGGCCTGCGGCGCATGCAGCGGCCAATGCGGGGCTGGCGGGAGCAGGAGGGGCGGCGGGATCGGGGGGAACAGGATTATCCCGGGCGGTGGAGGCGGGGGGAGCGGAAGCCCGCGCTGGGGTAAACGGCGCAGGGGCAACAACGGCCACGACAAGACCAGGCGGAGAAGCGAGGGTAGCCGCAGGTGCGACGCCAGTAGCGCAGGGAGCTCCAGGAGCAACGGCAAGCGGAACAGCAGCTGCGGTGGGGGGGAGATCCGCAGGAGGAGGGGCTTCCGCAGCAGCAGGTGAAACAGGTGGGGCAGGGGGAGGAGTCGGAGCAGGCGGGGCAGCAGCGCGAGCAGCGGGGGGGGGCAGGCGCCCATCGTCAGTAACTCTAGCGGTGGGCATGGCGCGGCACATAGCGCGCACGGAGGGCGTGAGGGGGTTCTTCCGCGGCATGGGCACCGTGGTGGCGGGGATGCTCCCCGGGCGGATCATTTATATGGCCGTGCTGGAGGCGGTTAAGGCCAACACGCTTAAAGGGATTAACGGGGTAGCGGAGCAGCCTGTAGAGGGTACGTTTGACGGTGCTGCGAGCGCAAGCAGCGGTAACGGCGGCACCAGCAGCAGCACAAGTAGTGGCGTCAGTAGCAGCACTGGTGGCAGCAGCGGTGGCAGTTTTGGTGGCGGGAACAGTGAGAGCAGAGGTGGTAGTGGCAGTGTGGTGGGCGGCACGGGGCGGTGGCTGCATTTGTCTGATACAGCAGCAGCAGGGCTGGCGAGTGCGGTGGGCGGCATGTGCGCGTCTCTTGCCACCCAGGCTGTTGTTGTGCCCGTGGACGTGGTGAGTGGGGGTGAGAGGGGTTGGGAAGGAGGGAGGGGAGGGGGAGTGTGGAGGAGGGAGAGGGTCTGTGGGAGTGTGGGATTGGGGGGGTGGTAGCTGTTGTGCATGTGCGCGTCTCTTGCCACTCAGGCCGTTGTTGTGCCCGTGGACGTGGTGAGTGGGGGGGAGGAGGGAAATGGGTGGGGTGGGTGTATTTAAGGCAATGGGGAATGGGGAACAGGAGTGGGCCGTTGTTGTTCCCGTGGACGTGGTGAGTGAAGGGGGGGCAGGGGGTGGGGGGGAAGGGGGGAGAAGGGGAGGGGTGTGGGGAGGGAGTGGGGGAGTGGGGGAGTGGGGGAGTGGTGGTCTGGGATGAGGGACTGGTGAGTAGGGGAGTGGGGGATTGGGGGAGGAGGGTTTAGGGCCTGACATTTTCCTAAGCGAGGGAAGGAGGAGCATTGACATTTTCCTCATTCATCCAACCTCCCCTCGTTTCCCCCTTCCACAATACTATTCTCTTTCGTCCCCCCATCCCACCCTCCCACGTGCCGTGCTCCCCTCTCCCACTCCCCATCCTTCCACGTGCCCATCATCAGATCAGCTCTCGTCTCGTGGCACAGCAGGGCGACCTGCCACCACACCACACCACCAGACCCACACCCGCTGCACCAGGAGTGCCGCTATCAGCTTCCACACCAGCAGCGGCAGCAGGAGCAGCAAGAGCAGGGGCAGCAGCGGCAGGAGGAGGCGCAGGGGCAGCAGCAGTGCGGTACAAGAGGGGGATTGACGCACTCGTGACGATTCTGCGCACGGAGGGGCCGCGTGGGCTGTACCGCGGGTTTGGGCTGTCGGTGCTTACGTACGCTCCCTCAGGGTTCATCTGGTGGGGCACCTATGGCGCCACCCAACGCCTCTTCTGGAGGTGAGGCCGCATGTCAGGGGAGGGACTGGTGGAAGGGTGAGGTCTCAGTCAGGTCAGGAAAAGCACTGCTCTGGAGGTGAGGTCGCAGGGCGGACACTGCCCTGGAGGTGAGGTGAGGTGGCAGGGCCGACACTGCTGTGTGACGTCCTCGTTTCCCTGGGCTGTCCTCTTTTGCTCTCTCTCACCCTCTCTCGTCCCTCTGCGGCCCTTCCCTTCCCTTTTCCCTTCCCCCCCACTTTGCCAACCCCCCCCAACTCCCCCATCACCCCACAGTTCATACGACCGGTTGTGGGCACCAGCAGGCAACACTGCAGCGCCCCCACTACCACTGGTGGTGGGAGTGCAGGTGGGAGGGGGCATGTGCGCCGGGCTGGCGTCCGCCCTCGCCACCACCCCGCTGGACACCGTCAAGACGCGCATCCAGGTGAAAGGGGCATATGTGTGCAGGTGGTGGGTGTGAGTGTGTGTGTATGCATGCGACAGCAGGCAGCGCAGCAGCAGCGCCCCCGCTGCCCCTGGTGGTGAGTGAGCAGGTGGGAGGAGGCATGTGTGCCGGGCTGGCGTCCGCCCTCGCCACCACCCCGCTGGACACCGTCAAGACGCGCATCCAGGTGAAGAGGGTGTGTGTTTGTATGCATGCATGCATGCAGCATCAGGCAGCAGCGCAGCAGTTCCACCCCTGCCCCTGGTGGTGGGCGTGCAGGTGGGCGGAGGCATGTGTGCCAGGCTGGCTTCTGCCCTCGCCACCACCCCACTTGACACCGTCAAGACGCGCATTCAGGTGAAGGGCATGTGTGTGTGTGCCGTCGCAGGCTACATTAGTACATGTGCCCGCCTTGCCGTGCGTGTGGGGTGGTTGCTGCACTCCGCCCCACGCTCACCTCACCACCCACTCGCCACCGACAAACCACCCACTCACATGCCTTTCCGCTCCCCATGTGGCAGGTGGGGCGCAGGAGCGGGGCGGCAGTGAAGGTGGCAGCGGTGGTGCGACAGCTGGTGGAGCAGGACGGGCTGAGAGGGCTGTACCGCAGCTTTTGAGGCATTTGAAGAGAGGGCTCCAGGCGCCAGTGCTGCTGAGGACACTGTGCACACCATCCCACGCACCACCTCACTCACACTCCTCTCCCTCTTACCCCACTCCACCCATCAGGTGGGGCGCAGGAGCAGAGCAGCAGTGACAGTGGCAGCAGTGGTACGACGGCTGGTGGAGCAAGACGGGATGAGAGGGTTGTAGGGTGCCTGTGCCCCTCTTCATCCCACTCACACCCCCCGTTCCTTCTCCCTCACTCCACATCAGGTGGGGCGCAGGAGTGGAGCTGCAGTGACAGTGGCAGTGGTGGTACGGCAGCTGGTGGAGCAGGACGGGGTGAGAGGGCTGTACCGTGGCTTCGCCCCTCGCTGTGCCAGCACCATGCTCTGGGGCACTGCCATGGTCTCCACCTACGAGTACCTCAGTACGTAATTTCTTTCCTCTCCTTGTCGATAATTGAGTCGACTCAAAGGGCACCTCGCTGTGCCAGCACCATGCTCTGGGGCACTGCTATGGTCTCCACCTACGAGTACCTCAGTACGTGGTCTCAAAACGTCCCTCCAAGGTGACTATTCTGTCGACTCAAAGGCCACCGGGCACGGCATTGGTCTCCACCTAGGAGTACCTCAGTATGTATCCCCAATTGCCACTCCCTCGACCCTTTTCTTCCGTCCCTCCTCCCCAATCTCTCCACCCTGCACTGCAGCCTCCCCATTCTTGACGCATACTTTGCATGCCATTATGAACGCACCCATGCATGTCTGATTAACCGCCCCCCATGGTCCCCACGTGCTCTCACTCCCATATGTGTGTGCGCATGCCTCTGCTTCACACTCACACCTCCATATCCTGCTTTCTCACACTCTCCCTCCTCCCACCATCGTTGCATCTCCCTCTGCCCTCCCCTGCCGTGCACCAACAGAGCGTCTATGTGCCAAGGAGAGCACTGATGAGCTTTGATGGGCTACCCACGAGTCAAACAGAAGATTGAGGCGCATCAACAGAGCGCCTATGAGCCGAGGAGAGCATTTATGCGATTTCTGCAGTTTCTTCTCAAGATTACCCGGGTAGCTGTGAGGATGGCAAGAGCGAGTGGCAACGTCATGCCTGCTTCATGCCTTTGTTGCTGCTCTGTGCGGTGGTGCGGGTTTGGCCTAATTTAATGAACTTACATATTGAAAAAGCTCTTATTACTAACTTTTGCAGAATTGTAGTACCGTGTTATTGCAAAATGCTTCACTGCAAGAACAGGCAAAATCTGCTGTACCCCACAAAATCAGCTTTGTGACAAGCCTGTACCGAGTGTATATGACTTTGATGGGTGATGGTACGACTTTGAAAGGAGGGGTCACTATTTCAATATTGCAGTAGTGGTACAAGATTGGTAACATAGTTTTGAATTGCAAACGTAGTGGCCTCACTCCCTCTGTACCTCTCCCTCCCTGCCATTTTACGCTCTGCATGCCAACTCACTCCTTCACTACCAACTGATTACCTTCTTGCTAACTCAATTTTCCTCTGCCAGATTTATCCCTCACTGCCTAATCACTCCATCTGTGCTAACCCATCCACACCCTGCCAACCCAACCCACCCCCTTCCTGCCAGGCCATATCCTCCCTGCCACCAACCTTCTTCACTGCTAACTCACTCCCTCCCCTTCCCCTCCCCCGCTCCCTGTAAGGTGCTGCACCATCTGCTGTGCCTTTCGTAGACTTTCTTTCAGGTTCTCCCCTCGCCTCTTCAATGCCTCCAGATCCTCTGCCCTTTTCTGCTCTGCCTGCCTTTCCCTCTCCTTTGCCTGCTTCTTTTTCTTCTCTACTTGTCTCTCCCTTTCCTTTGCCTCTCTCTCCTTCTCGTCTGCCTCCCTCACCTTCTCCTCTACCCTCTTCTCTGCTTCCCTCACCTTCTCCTCTGCCTTCTTCTCTGCTTCCCTCACCTTCTCCTCTGCCTTCTTCTCTGCTTCCCTCACCTTCTCCTCTGCCCTCTTCTCTGCCTCTCTCACCTTCTCCTCTGCCTTCTCCTCTGCCTTCTCCTCCGCCTCCCTCACCTTCTCCTCTACCCTCTTCTCTTCCTCCCTCACCTTCTCCTCTGCCTTCTCCTCCGCCTCCCTCACTTTCTCCTCTACCCTCTTCTCTGCCTCCCTCACCTTCTCCTCTGCCTTCTTCTCTGCCTCCCTCACCTTCTCCTCTGCCTTCTTCTCTGCCTCCCTCACCTTCTCCTCTGCCTTCTCCTCTGCCTCCTCCTTTGCCTCCCTCACCTTCTCCTCTGCCCGTCTCTCCCTCACCTCTAAATTTCTCTCCTTTTCCTTTGCCTTCTCCTCCTTCTCCTGTATCTGACTCTCCCTCTCTTGTAATCGCCTCTCATTCTCCTCTTTTCCCCTCTCTCTCTCCTCTGCTCGGCTCTCCTCCCCTCTCACTGCCACCCCCTCCTCTACTTGTCCCTGTACAAGCAAACAAGGTACGGGCAATGAACAAGTATCATAATCACGCAAACATCCGCCATACAGGAAAAACAACAAAAAAGGAACTAAATTCAAGGTAAATGTGAGACCTTACATAACGTTTATAGTGGCACTTACCGTGGTGTTAGCATCTGATGTGAAAAGGTTCTCAGCCAAATTCACTGCCGCTATCATTGCATCTTCTGATGAAAAGTTCTCCTGTATAAGACAGTTGAGTCAAAGTCGTTGAGTTTTGAATAGGACACACATGAAAGGTATAATATACTTCTTACCCTTGCACTATATTTCTCAAGCACCATATCTCTCCACTTTTTCGACCGCAGCCGTTGAGGAATTAAACGCTCCACCTCAGCCTCCCAAGTTCTGTATAAAGGGTAGGAGAACAACATGAGCAAGCAAGGTGCTTTTAGTGGGTATCATCACATGTAAAACAATCATAATGATAAACAATATATGCTCAAAGCACATTCAACGCAACAAGAAAGACACTTACGGTAGCAGATGTGACGCAGGGAGCCCACCAAGCTCTACCCTCAAATGAAAAGCAGCAAAACGGGCCGCTTGGTATGGATTGAGCGAATGCTCGTTGTCTTCAATTTTCTTCCTGGCTTGATTTAGCGGAGAAAAAGGTAAACAGGGTCTTTTCTCAAGTTACCGGACTCGCCAGATGAAAACCTGCGGTGGTAAAGTAGGCTTTTTTCTACGGGCCGGTTCCACTTCTCCTCAGCCCTTTGTAGATCGGCCACGACATCCCCCAGCAATGATGAGTCATCAATGAGGATGAACTCAGCTGCGCAGCAACAGAACAAGATACAGTGGGCACGAACACCAACTTGAAGTTAAGGGTCAGCTAACAAACATAATCCTTAGCAACCGAATTGCACACAGTGTAAACATAGATCGCAACGCATTGTAAACGTCATTACGGACGGCATGCACTTGCACTCACTTGCTGAATACTCCTTCCCCTTCTCCTTCATGATGACACACTTCCTTTCTTGATACAATCCAAATGCTTTCCAGTCTTCTATACTGACGCTCTGTGCCATCCTCTGTACCATCAAAAGCATGAAAACAAACAAGTGCATAATCAATGTCTCCAATAAACGAGGTTACTGTGAGACAAGGGATTAAAAAAAATATGTGCCGCCCTATATCGTCTAGCTCACCTCCAGTTTTTTTCCCACAGTCATGGATGCCAAGCTGCCACGCAAATTGAATTCATCCGAATTCTTCAACTTCATCTGCAACGCCACGAAAGAAAGTGTATCCCCATAAATTTGACTAATCCAATGAACTCAAACCCAAACAACAAACCCACCAACATGGGGTGGGCAGCACGCCCTCTCCCTAATACGTACCTCTAATTCCAGTGTTATCTCGAGCAACGTGCTCCCCTGGGTGCCTCCAGGGGCAGAGCTGCGGCTGAAAATTGATAAGGTCATATTAGAAACGAGCCAGATGGAGGACGTGGTTAAAAACCGAATTCAAAACACAACCTATTGTGATTTGAATTACCTCCGTATCATGAGTGACCAGATCGTCCGAGTAGAACTTGTGGCAGGGGCTCGCTTAGTTCTTAAGAAGACGGTTCGAAAATGTGTTTTAGGCTGAAAGCGAGTTCCGAATAGCAACCTAAGCTTGTAAGAACCAGGGAAAGAAGTGATCCACTCACTAATCGTGAACTAGAGTAGATCTGAATGATTCCAGCGGGGAGGAAAGAAAAAGGCTCTGAGTTGAAGAGTGGGGTTCTTGTAGAGTGGGGTTCTTGTAGAGTGGGGTTCTTGTAGAGTGGGGTTCCGGTATGGAACTCTTGGGGCGCCTAGCGTGGAGTTGCGTGCCACCCAACAAACACACCACCCAAACCCAAGGAGGCATACTTCTCGACATGCAGCTCATCCTGCCACACTTCAAAATATATTTTTGAATCTGGAACTTATCGCATGCGCGGCGGATTTGCCTAGGGCTATCCTGTAAGACAATGCCAATTAATCCGTCTACACTCGGCAGAGATTTCCGCCTTGACGACGGAATGACATCAGTTCTACAGAAAGCCGTCCTTAGCAATTACATCCTCGTCATCAGGTCCCGATTGAAGTCTGACGACTCGTAGGCAGGTGTGAACGGAGAGCAAAGGAAGAGGTGTGGCGTGAGAAGTTTTGTGAAAATAGTCCACGCCACACCTTGTACATGACCATGCACACAAGCCGCCTCGGGACAGACACAGCCAGCTGAAAGTGACGCGGCAGTGATTCCAGTGACGAGCCGCCTCGGGACATCGAAGCCAGCGGAAGTGACGCGGCATGATTGCAGTGACGAGCCGCCTCTGTGGTGATGAAGCTAGCTGAAAGTGACGCGGCATTGATTCAGAAAGCAAGGGGGACGATGCAGCTATCGCAGCAACACTGAGTCGGGCTGGGCAGTGGGCAACTGTACACCCTTCGTTCAAGTCCGGCTTTCACATAAGTCCGGCATCTGCACAATAGAAACCTGGTAGCACACTCTCATACCAACAGACTAGTAGACATTCAGTCTATACGTTTCTTTACCCACCATTTACACCAATTGTTCGTTAATTTGATGGGGCGCGTTTGGGTCGGCGGTAAGGGCGGGTCCAGCGCGTACATTTTCCGTACATTACAGTTCATCTAGTGCGGTAATCTGTATTTCGTCACGGTTCAAAACGGTGCAATTTCAAAACCACTGTGCACCGCCTGTTATCTTTTCAAACCTCGACAAATGAACTGTATAGTACCTGTAAACGTACGCGCTGGACCCGCCCTAATTGACAGTTTCGCCGGGTGCTGTTATCGTGGAACAGTCACGAATTCTGGTTATCGTCGCACCTTGCTCCCAAAATGTGGTTGTAAAGACGTTCTTGCAACTGTAGGCGAACCTTCTGTGATCATTCCTACCGCAACCAATAGCATGAACATTTGTAGCTGAAGCATTTTGTTACCATATTCCTTCGACGTTCCATCTCCGTATGCCCTGCGTGCGGCATCAGTGCTACGACCCAGCCGGTCTGCCCGCCAGCTATCTCCCTCTCACCGCCTTCCCCCCACCCTTCCCCTCCACTTCCCCTTCCCCCTTCCCTTCCTCCTGCCTCGGATACTCATACACGCCGCGCCCGCTCTTGCGGCCCAGCCACCCAGCATCCACATACTGCACGAGCAGAGGGCAGGGCCGATACTTGGCGTCGATCAGCCCGTCTGCCCACCAATGCAAACCGTCTAGTGCGGCACCAATGCACACCGTCTAGTGCTGCACCAATGCTAGTGCCCGGCCTGTCTACCGGGCAGCTGCCTCCCTCTCACCACCTTCTCGCCACGCTCCACCCCTCCTTGACCCGCGTCCTCCCCCTGTGTCGGATACCCATACACGCCACGACCGCCACGATTCAGCCACCCGGCTCAGACCTGCCAGATGGCAGATGGGTTGGGATGGTACGACCATTCATACACCAGAATCTTACGATATGCCAAATCGTGTATGGAAAATAGGAAGACTCAGCACCTGCTCCTGCCGCCCCGCTCCTGCACCTGCTCCTGCCGCCCCGCTCTCCACCTGCAGGTCCACACAGAACCCCAGCAGCCGCACCAGATTCCCATGGCGCAGGGTTGCCATGGCTCGCACCTGTTTTGGATGGCAAGCAGGGGAGAGGATGGATGGTAGGATGGCGCACACACGTGACGTAACTCCTTGTACTACTCGTCTCGCCCGCTCTCCATGTGCTCTCGTGCCTCAGTGTTGCCATGGCTCGCACCTTTGCATGACATGCACGGGAGAGATTGGGGAGCAAGAGAGAGCAGATGGTGGACGGGGTGCACGCGCAGCACTTCTTCGGCACGGCGCTGGTGGTGCACCACACGCCGCAGCTGGGGCTCATAGTGGTGGACCGCAACACCGTTGCCATCTCCGTCTCTGACATCATGCTCTCCTTCTCCGCCTACCCGGGGAGGTCCCTGGGGAGGTGAGTTTCCACCCTACGCCACGCATCTTCGCTCGATGTCACTCTGGCATTCAATCTGTACCCGTGTAATTGTGTCTCCATTTCGGACATCAGGCTCTCCTTCTCCGCCTACACTGTCGAGGTCCCCGAGGAGGTCAGTGCCTGGCGTCTACCCTCCCTCTCTCCATGTCTATCTGTCTCACTTCTCAAGGCAGCCCGCTGTCTCTGTCTCTGACATGATGCTCTCCTGGCACGGTGCATGATGCGATGATGCTTGATGGGGTGAGACATGACAGATTTACAGCATGGTAAGTGTCGTCGTAACATTTGAAAGCATGAGACGTGAGAACATGACACATGATGACATTGCTTGTGATAGCTTGACGCAAGACTGCATTATGAGGTGTTGCATGATGGAATGACAATAAACGACATGATTTTGAGAAGGAGGTGCGTGCATTGATGGGGAGGGAGATTGCAAGCATGTGAGCACGAGGCATACCACATACATAGAGGGCGCAACACAGAGAAACAGGGGTGTCGCCCCAAGGGGGGATGTGAGCCGTGAAGCGATGCAGCGCGATGAGCAACGACTTTCAGGAAGAGGTGCGGAAGGGGTTAATTGGAGGCTTTGAGGCAGCATGTTATGTGAGCAGAATGTGAGCAGCATGCAGCCCAACTAGGCAGTGGGAGGTGGGAGGCGTCCCACAGAGGGGAGATGTAGGCTGCACTGCGATGTGGAGTGAGGACGAATGATTTCGCAAAAAGAGGTGCGTGAAAGGGTAGACGAAGCACTCAGACCTGGTGCGGCTGCTGGGGGTCGCCCCTTCCTCCCGCTTTTTCACTGTTGTGCATGACACCTGGGTGGGGAGGAACAAGGATGTATGAGGGAGCACTAATGAGGCGCCTCAAATGAGGCCCAGCCCAGGTGCGGCGTGTGGTGCACCACCAGCGCCGAGCCGAAGAAGTGCTGCGCGTGCACCCCGTCCACCATCACTGATGACGACACGTGCACCTGGGTGGGAGGAATAAGGATGTATGAGGGGGAAATGAGGATGGGAGGGATGAAAAGAGAGAAGGTGGGGAGTGGGAAAGAGAGGGGAAGTGAGGCACACCCCATCACAGCAGAGGCTCACAGCAGAGGCTCACAGCAGAGGCTCACAGCAGAGGCTCACAGCAGAGGCTCACAGCAGAGGCGGGAACCAGTAAGACGAAAAAAGGGATGGGGCAATGCATGACTCAGCACCATCACCCACCTCCATCATCACAAACGCGGGCTCCAGCGCGCTCTCCACCAATGAGCTCGTGCCAGCTGGCTTGGCCGATGCCTCTGATCCATCCGCCGCCGCCGCTGCCGCTGCAGCCGCTGCAGCAGGCTCGTCCCCATCAGCTACTGCTGTTGCCTCCTCTGCCTTAAGCTTCTTGCTTCCTTCCCCTTCGCCCTCCTCCTCCCCTCCCGCACTCTTCTCCCTCCTCTGCTGCTCTTCTACGTTCCCACCTCCCTTTTTCAACCCTCCCTCCTCCTCCTTGGCTGTACCATCACCATTTGCAGCAGCAACATCAGTGGCCGCAGCCCCATCCGCAGCAGCGCCAGCAGCGGCATCACCACCAGCAGCGGCAGCAGCAGGGGGGGGGGGGGGGGGGGAGGGCGGAGGCGATGCGCCAGAGCCCAGTGGAGTCATCCGTACAGTACATCTGGGGGGGTGAGTACCACGCATGCCGGTCCACCAGCAGCAGCACCGACTTGGGCCGGTGCCGCTCCCCATGCGTCACATACTCTATCGGCATCTCGCCCCCTCCTGCAGCCGCGCAAACACCCTTATAAACGCCTCCAAGTCCGGCACATCCCGATCGGCGAGCTTCTGGATGATGGCGAAGCGGGGAACGCCGGTGCGGGAGAGCATGTAGCCGGGCTCTGCGACGTAGACGAGGCCGCAGGGGAAGCGGAAGTTGCGCGCCTGATGGTACGAGAGGGCGTGCGGCACGCCCCCTGAGAGCTCGAGGAAGCGGTCGGGCGTGGCAGCGTGCAGGTCGTGCACTGTGAGGGCCAGGGAGAGCGGTGCGCAGCCGCGCTCCACGTCGAGGGTGACGGTGCCGCCCACAGCGTTTTCTAGAATGGCTTCCAGCGCTAGGAACTGCGTGAGCACCTGCGCGGAGGTGGTGTGGAGGTCAGGAGGTGTGGAGAGGAGAACGTGGTGAGGTGATGGAGGGGGACATGGGGACGATGGGGGACGATAAGAACTTCACTTGAGAGGAACAATGAGAGAGGATGCAGCCAAGAGAAGGAAATAAGATAAAGGGGGAAGGAAAAGATGAGAGGAAGCGAGGATCGCTGCTGGCCTCCCCTTCCCATCACGCATCATTCTATCATGCCTCATCCCATTACGCATCATCCCATTACGCATCATCCCATTACGCATCATCCCATTACGCATCATCCCATTACGCATCATCCCATCACGCATCATCCCATCACGCATCATCCAATCATTCATCATCCAGTCAAGCATCATCCAATCAAGCATCATCCCATCAAATGCATCATGCTGGCAGCATGTCATTCCGCTCAAGTCGAGCTGGACTCTCTACGCCCCGTTCTCAACATCCCTCTCATGCACATCACGCCATTCAAAGACCATACTTACAAAACCTGTTCTTTTCAACATTTCCTCTCAACCCTCGCACCCACCTGTTCCTCTCTCGCACCAGCTTCGTCAACTCCCTCGGCTGCCATCGCTCGCAGCCCTCACTCCTGTTTCCTCTCGCGTCAGTCACGAGCACTGGGCGTGCATACAGCAGCATGACGCAGCAGAACCGTATGGTGATGCGAATCAAATCATCTGATCGAGCGACGGCGCGACGGTGCCGAGGAAGTGATGTCGAGCTCGATCAGCTTTCAGGGGATCATTGGCGGCGCCTTCGGAAGGCCGTCACTCGACGCGAAGCAACGGTGCGACGGCGAATTGCATTGATGGCGAAGCTCTGTGCGACGATGCGACGGCGAATTGAATCGCAAAGACCAAATCCTCGGTGAGATGGTAGAGCGGATGGCGAAGCGCGTAGGGAATGTAACGACGGCAAGTTGGGACGGAAACACTGGAAGCACCAACAACACCGTTGGCGCGAGGGATACTACAACAGGGCCTCGTAAAGCCGCACTGGTGGTGTGCACATGCCGTCGTGCCCCACCCACGGAGCAACAGAGCCGTTCCGTTCTAATGAATCTAGACGCTGCTGCATCCGGCTTTCGCGGCCTGAGTTCCCACGTAAGGGATCTGGGTAGGGGTCTGGGTAGGGATCTGGATAGGGATCTGGGAAGCGTTCTGTCTGAAATCTCGAAGAAAGTGTCACAACTAAAACCGACACGATGGCTGGGTTGCACAACCAGCCTACTCCCAAAATGTTGTGGGTTTCAAACTTCGAACACAACTTTTCCAGCCGAGAAATTTCAGGGAACTGATCCGTACACGCCCTTCTGGATGAGATTCATTAGCCCAGCTTTGTCACCCCAGCCCTCGTCCAGCACTAAAACCAGCCACCTAGTCCAGCAGAGAAAGCCAGATCGGGGACGGGACGCTCCATTCAGGAATTCGTGAAGCCAATACTCGGGACGAGTGGGGTACTCAAGGGGATTTTGTGAAGTAAACTTTGAAGAACCATCAGCAACCTGGTCAGGCTAGTGGATCTGTGGTGTGGTTCGTAGATTGAGAGCGAGAAAGACATTCTTAATTTTCTGCAGTTGGGCTTCCCAGCATTCGTCCAGCACGAAATTCAGCCAGCTGGTCTTTCAGATCTGTCAGATTCGTGAAAGCTCGAGACGGGACCTAGGAAGCTCATTGCTCCATGCAGGAGCGAGGAGCCTGGGTGCTCAAAAGCGCGGCTCGAATGGGTACCACTCACGGGGAATGCGTGAAGCCTAACGTACGGTACTCTACCTACCCTACCTTATCCCATCTCACACGACCATATCCCACTGATCTGGGAAGCTAAGGAGCTCACTTCTATTACTGGCATTTCTCATTTCGCTTGTCTCATCTCTGCCATTTCTCCTCAACGTCAGCCTGTTCGGGATCCTGTCTGTTCTTCCTTTCCTCGTCAGAAGGGTAGTTTGTTAGCTAAGAAGTCACCTTGGTTTCGCAGTAGGCCGAAGTAGTCACTATCGTCTATATCAGTAACGATGTCTGACGAGTCTCCGATCCGACGTTTATCCAACGATTTGCTCGCCAAGATCCTGCACCTAGGTGTTCGACCCGACGAGTTTCAGCATGCTCTGGTGTGCACGGGGTGGCGTGAAGTAGCGTATCGCGTGCAGGACGTCATTCACGTGTCCGCTCGACGTAGCATGAATCATCGCCAGCTGCTTGCTCAGCTCGCGGCGTTTCGCAGGCTGAAGAAACTCGTTCTTTTAGACGGGAGTTTGCTTGTCGTCCCGGACGCTTTCCTCGCTGGCCTTGCCGAATCGCATCCCAATCTAGTCTATCTTCACATCGGCGCGATGAAGGAGGCGTTCGAACGCGGCAATGCTTTTACCACGAATTGACTTTCACGCCTTTTCGAGGGTTGCACCCGACTAGAGGATCTGCGTTTCGTTTGTCCGTCGGGTGTCCGTACCATTCCACCTTCCATCGGCAACCAATTTCATCTTAAAAGACTTTCCCTCACAGCCCATAGGATTCAGCATCTTCCTGGCGCTATCACCTCGTTGCAGTCGCTTGAGATCCTTGAACTATGCATGGAAGACCTGCACGATCTGCCGCAGAATATCGGTAGTCTAGTCTCTCTCAAGTCGTTGCAGCTGGAACGCGTTCGCTCTTTACGCTCACTCCCAACGTCCGTTCAGCAGCTCGCCAATCTACACCGACTTTTCATCCAAGGCTGCGGGACATTTCAATTACCGGGTGGTCTCTCCAACTTCGACGACTGAAGGAGCTCGAGTTAAGAGATTTTGCAGAACTTTTGCCTCTGCCTGATGACTTTGGAAGACTGCCGGCGCTGGAAAACCTATGCCTCGTGTATGTAAACGGAATCACGGAACTTCCAGAGACCGTTGGGCTGCTGCAGCAACTGCAAATTCTTACCATCAAAGGCTCATCTACTAATTTCTCGTCGCTGCCCCGGTCCTTGCCTGATTTGTCATCCCTCACGAGTTTCGACTTGATGGTGGAATCTTTTTCAGACCTGCCAGATAGCATTGGACGATTATCAAAGCTTCGTTTCGTCAACTTGCAGAGCTTTGGGTGGACTAACCGTGTTGCTCCCAATGGTCGTCCAAGAATTTCTTCCCTGCCCGATGACTTCGGGCAGTTGACTGCGTTGGAAGTTCTTCGTCTGTCAACCCTCCAAGAACTCAGTCACTTACCAGAATCCCTTGGACATTTGCTGAAATTGCGGGAGCTGGAGATTTCTCACTGTGGTCAGCTGCATCAGCTACCCAACTCTCTTACCCAGTTATCTTTTCTTCAAAATCTTACAGTTGTAGATTGCCCGAAGCTAACTGCTGTACCAGAGGGCCTGGGGGATGGGATGTGCCATCTTCGTGAGCTGGATTTAGCTTGCCAAGGTCTAATCCACGTCCCTGGATCCTTCTCTCGCCTGTCGTCACTTGAAGTATTACGCATCAAATACAGCGAGTGCTTTACAGGTTCCTTGTTCGAGAGCTTCAACAGCTTTACACGCCTTAGGCACCTCTCTTTATCTTCCATCCCGAATCTAACTTCCCTTCCTACCTCGCTCTCCAGATTGGCTTTCACCCTTACAAGCCTAGAAGTGGATGGTTGCAAGGAGCTGAAAGCGTTACCAGAGGAGATTGGGCAGTTGGTAATGCTGAAGGAGCTTAAGCTTTCCAGTTTAGATGGCTTGGAATCTCTACCTCGGTCGTTGTTGAAGCTGCCTCGATTGGAGGACCTTCGGGTATTTGACTGCATGAGCCTGGGCGAACGGAGCACAATGGACTCCTTGGTTGGCGGGAGCAGTGGCAGCAGCAGCAGCACTTTCGAGTGTGTTGAAGCAAACGTGCTTCCGTCGCTGCAAGTGATATCCATTTCGTATGTTTCTTCCGAAGAACTTGATCCAACCTTGGGTTGTGTGTTTTCATTGAAGACACTGTCTTTGTCGGATATGTCTGCACTTTGTGCAATTCCTGCTTCGATCTCTCAGTTGTCCAACCTGCAGGACTTGTGCATCTGCGCAGCCGAGCCTTGAAGCACTACCGGAAGCAGTGGGCCAACTCTTGCAACTTACGTCTCTTCACCTTTGTGAATTAGAAAGCTTGCGGGAGCTTCCCAAGTCGTTTGGACAGCTGAAGAAGCTCAGGTCACTCTCCATCGACGGTTGCCCAGAGCTATACGAGCTTCCGGATTCGTTTCCCAAATTGCCCAACTTACGGGTTTGCTCGCTCGGCGATTGCCCGAAACTGTCATTCCTTCCACAAGACTTTGGAAACCTGATTTCCCTCCAGGAGCTTGACCTGTTATATCTGCCTAGTCTCCGAAGGCTCCCTGACTCTTTTCAGGACCTAACTCGGTTGAAGCGGATGCGTGTGGATGATTGTGAGCAGCTGGCCCAGCTGCCACCCTCTCTCTGCAACCTGCCGATGCTACAGGATTGCACGATTATTGACTGCCCTTTGATTTCAAACGGACGTGAGACGATTTTTGGGAGGGGGTATTGCACAGATTGAATCGTGCAGGTTAGAAGGGGTGCAAGGAGAGGAGGTGGAATGGAGGGAGATGGGATGGTTGCTGCCGAGGGAGCGTCTAGGATCAAGGGGGGAAAGGAGATAGGTCAGGACCTTGTGAAAGGTGTAGGAGGAGGGAGATGTGCCTTGTTGGACCTTGTGTAGGGACCTTGTGCCTTTTCTTGCTGCCGTGTGTGCTACCTTGGAGATTAGGGGCTTGGATACATATAGATCTGCTACCGGGGTTGTATCTAGTGACACTATTAATGGTGCTACCGGGGTTGAATCTATAAATTGAATCTATAATATTTCATGGTGCAAAACGAAGGGGATATCATGCACATCATTCTCTTTGAGTGCACTTTCCTTATATTTCCTTATCATGCATAGTTCTGTCATGCCCCGTCCTGTCATGCCCCGTCCCATCATGCATCATCCCATCATGCATTGTCCCATCATGCATCGTCCTCCCATCATGCATCGTCCCATCATCGTCCCATCATGCATCAGGGTTGGCACTGTTAGAAGGACAGGCACTGCAGCAGCTACGGAAGCTGAAGTGATGCAAATTCGTTGACTGACCTGCCAGCATCGATCACCAAGCTTCAGCACCTGACATCCTTGATGATCCATGCAGCCAAGCTAACTTCCCTTCCTGATTCCATCAGTGCTTTTTCCAGGCTGCGGAAACTCGGCCCCTCTGAATGTGCTGTCTTGGAGCATCTTCCTTCATCTCTTGCCCAATCATCTTGCCTCCGTAAGCTGGATTTGCACGGCACGGCGATCCGTTCACTTCCTCCCAACTCCTGTGCCTGGCTAGATTTGTTTGGTTGCAAGCACCTGCATGCACTCCCAAAAAACGTTACTGAGATGAACATGTTGCATGACTTGAGCGTTGGAATTAGCAGGCACCTCTTTGACAGTGAAATGCGCTTACAGCCCCCCTGAGGTCGAAATAATTTTTGGCTTGAGTATAGATTATAATCTCTGGTAATAGGATGTAATTTTAGTGCTTACATGTTACGGTAGTAATCCTGTTTCAATCCCCATGCGGAATATTCTCCTGTGACGATCTTGTCTCACAAAGAAGGGGGTGGGTTGACTGTTGAGGCTAGTGGTAATTGTTTCCCTTGCCATGTGTGCTGCTGTTGTCTAAAAACAATCAGGACTAAGCAAATCTGGATCTTCATCCCCTACACGCATTTGCAGAAGCGGTACTTGGCGTTTCCCAGCCCGTCTGCCCGCCAATGCACATCGTCTAGTGCAGTACCAACGCTAGTGCCCGGCCCGTCTACCAGGCAGCTGTCTCCCTCTCACCACCTTCTCCCCACCCTCACCCTCTCCCTCACCTCCCACCTCCTCCTGCCTCGGATACTCATACACGCCGCGCCCGCTCTTGCGACCCAGCCACCCGGCGTCAACATATTGCACGAGCAGAGGGCAGGGGCGGTACTTGGCGTCTCCTAATCCCGCATGTAGCACTCGCATGATGGCAACGCATGTGTCCAGCCCTATCAGGTCCGCTAGATGCAGTGGTCCCATGGGCTGGTGAACAAGGGCACAACGGGGGAGGGTATCGCACAGTAGGGAGCAGAGCAAGTGGTGAGAAAGAAGAGCAGAGGGCAGGGGCGGTACTTGGCGTCTCCTAATCCCGCGTGCAGTACTCGCATGATGGCAACGCATGTGTCCAGCCCTATCAGGTCGGCCAGGTGAAGCGGTCCCATGGGCTGGAGGAAGGGGCAGAGATGGGAGAAGACGCATGTGAGGTGCAGCACTGAGCACTGAGCACTGAGCACTGAGCACTCGCAGGCCCCACATGTGTCCAGCCCTATCAGGTCCGCCAGGTGTAGCGGTCCCATGGGCTGAAACATGGGGGGAGGGGCAGGTGGTAGAGAGAGGGGTGAGAGAGGAGCAGCGGCCTGGAGCGAGGTGCGTGCAGCACAGAGCAGTTGCATGAACGACACCATGCCTTCATAGGCATGACCCACCTGCTTGGTGCCGAGCTCCATACCTCTATCAATGTCGTGACCCATGCAGACCCTTCCAGCACAGAGCATATGGAAGGCCTCGTTGATCATGGGCACGAGCAGGTGGAAGTAAAATGATGAGCAAGCAGCACCCACCTGATTAGTGCCCAGCTTCATGCCTCTATCAATGTCCTGTGCAGTGCCCACGCCCTCTAGCAGCACATAGAATGCTTCGTTGATCATGGGCATGCGCAGAGAGAGGCACAGGCAATAAGCACCCACCTGATTGGTGCCGAGCTTCATGCCTCTGTCAATGTCTTGAGCCGTGCCCACGCCCTCCAGCAGCGCATAGAAGGCCTCGTTGATCATGGGCATGAGCAGGCGGTTCACTATGACATGAACCCAAGGGATGGGCAGAGAGAGGCGGGGAAACGTTACACAACACCCGCCTGATTAGTGCCGAGCTTCATCCCTCTGTCGATGTCCTGTGCCGTGCCAACACCTTCTAGAAGCGCATAGAAGGCCTCGTTGATCATGGGCATGAGCAGGCGATTCACTATGAACCCAAGGGATGGGCAGAGAGAGGCAAGGGAAGATCATACAACTCCCACCTGGTTTGTGCCGAGCTTCATGCCTCTGTCAATGTCCTGTGCCGTGCCCACGCCCTCCAGCAGCGCATAGAATGCTTCGTTGATCATGGGCATGAGCAGGCGGTTTACAATGAAGCCCGGATAGTCCCGCGCCTCACACACCGCCTTCCCGAACCTGGGTGCAGGCTCGGGTGAAAATGGGATTTAGGGTGGTGATGCACGCAGTGAGCAACAGGAGGAAAGTAAGTGCAGAAGGAGCAAGCTTCAACTGCCTACCACCGTGCATAACCACTCCATACTCAACTGTGCACCCATCCCCATCCCCAGCACCAATGCTCCCTATCCCCATCCACGCCCATTTCCCCCACCTGTGCGCGAGGCCCTTGGTGAGGTGCAGCGTGTGGTCTGACGTGGCAAGCCCTGGCACCACCTCCACGAGTGACATGATGACAGGCGGGTTCATGAAGTGCATGCCGATCACCTGAAGGAAGGGAGAAAAGGGGGTGTGGAAGGCATGAAAAAGGGAGGAGCCATGAAGGAAGAGAGTGTGTGGGCATGTGACCACGCCACGCCAAGACATGAGAATGTGCGTCCCCATGTCCCCATGTCCCCCTGCCTTTCCCCTCCCCACACACCTCATCCAGTCGCCCTTTGCTGACAAGGCGCCCCAGCGAGTGCCTGATGCCGGCCATGCAGTGGTCCAGCGCTGCTAGACTCGTGTCCGCCACCACCACTCGCATCCCCGCCATGGCTGTTGTGGGGAGATTGGGGGAGAGGAAGACGGATGGGGAGGGGGAGGCGGAAAGGGAGGGCAAGGGAAGGGGGGAAGGGGAAAGGGAGTGCTTGATGCCGCCCGTGCAGCGATCCAGTGCTGCTAGACTCGTGTCCGCCACCACCACTCGCATCCCCGCCATGGCTGTTGTGGGGGGGAGGGGGGAAGGGGGAGGGGGAGGGGGAGGGGGAGGGGGATGGATGGAGCGGATGCAGATTGAGCAGGAATAATTGCAAGAGCCAGTCACGCTCACGTCCGCCACCACCACGCGCATCACCGCACCATTCTCACTCCCCTCTCCCCACCCTTCCCTCTCCGCCCCAAATCCCCTTCCCACACTCACCTCCCAGCTGCGCGATTCCGCTCCCCATCTGCCCCGCGCCCACCACCCCCAGCACCTGCAGCTGCGCCGCCGCCTTCCGCCCCGCCAGCTCCCCCGGTGACACGTCAGCATCCGCCACGTCACCAGCAGAGGAGAAGCTACGGGAATGACTCCCGCCGTTTGCGCTGCTGGCGCTAGGTGTGCTTGCGACTGAAGTGCTTAACGCGGATGTGCCTAAAGCGAGGGGCGCGTGCGGCGCCCATAGACCGTGTCTCGATATAAGCGCGCGCGTGAGGGAGCAGGATCGGCGCGCGTGGAGCGAGATGCGTGACGAGGCCATGGACGCTACGCGCGGGAGCGAGACGAGGGTCAGCGCGCGTGGAGCGCGAGGCGTGAGTGTGCAGCGGAACGGCTACGCTGCTGCGTGGCCGCAGTACGCGTGCGCGTGTGCGGGGGTGGTGGTGGGTGTGGCGGAGCCTGGGGTGGCGTGGGGCGGCGCGCGAAGGTGGAGCGAGAGGAGGTGCGTGGACGATGTTAGAGGCGCGAGCGACGGGTATGTGGCGCCGCTGTGTGTCGCGCAGTTCGGGTGTGGGTGGGCGTGGGGCGGGGAGCGGCCGGGCCGGGTCAAGTGGCAGCAGGGTAGCCGAGAAAAACACTCGGATCGGAAAGCCGGTTATGGCTAGAAGAAATAGTCGACCAGATATGTTTCTCGTCGCTGTCGCAGGCGAGCAGGCTGGGGATTGGATGGGCTGTTTTGTTACAAATTGTGCAGATTGGGGGCGGGTGTGGGGGAGGGGGATTTTGACAAGGACAGGGGTGACGTGGTAATGTTCCGAAGTGACGACACGCACGCGTCATCGTAAGAGAGGAATGGCGTGGCAGCAAAATATAGACTCGATACGAAAATAATAACGATAATAAAGTACACGAGAGGCTAACTGCACTACTCATATTCTTACTCCCTCCTCATGCTGAATCTTTGTTGACTTCTTTGAACGCTTTATATCGTAGGCCGTATTAAATGCCAATGAAAGAACAATCATGAATGTCATCCAACGAGCCGATGGGATAAACATCTCTTCAAACTCCTAGCATAGCTCAAGCATCCCCATCAGCCAAGCTCCCCCTAACCCTCAAAATTATGAGCAATAATGCTCATTGTGCCCACTGCATCCACAAGCAGCCACAAGTGGTATATGAGCCCCATGCCTCCACACCAGGCCGTGCCGTGCCTCCGCAAGGCAGTCCGTGCCTGCAGCCACTTGGCCTCGGTCTAAGACTAGGCCTTTGATCCAACGAGGCGACTTTTGAATTTACTAGGCTAGGCGACATTTGGTGTCATGCCTCCTCACTTGGCCTCAGACCAGTCGTAAAGCTTCTTGGTGTAGTACTTTTTAAACGCCCTCTCCTTTCTGAGCTGGGGCAGAGTCATTTTGGACAGCCATGGGGCGTGCTTGGGCGAGCGGAGGCGCAGGCAGGGCGGTTCAGAAAGGTCTTGCGGCATTTGGCAGGAGCGGGAGAAGTCAAACTCGCGGTACTGCGCTTGAACGGGGCCGTTGCTGTAGTTCGCCTTGAGCCAGCTCCATGATGAGGAGTCCCATATCGAAGCCTGCAAAAACGGGTACAGATGTATGGGTATTGATGAGCACAAGTGTGAAAGGGAGGGTAAGACTTCTAAGGGGGAGGCAGGGATGAATGAGATGGTGGAAACAACTGGCTCACGTGAAACCCACAGTGCTGCAGGACATACCTTGAATTCCATGGGCAGCGTTGGGAACGGATGGTTCGTCTCGTTGACGGTGATGCGTATCGGATAGTCATCCACCATCCACATGACATACATCGGAGAGTACACTATCGAGTACGTGTGGAAATCCGCGGACGGGTCAAACGGGAAGCGGAACTGCTCCAGCTTAACCTGCCCGCCCGTGATCAGATTCGTATGGATGGTGATATCCATGGGGGTTTCCCCTCCGATAAACTCAAAGTCAATCTCATCGTGGATGTCTGTGTAGCCTTGTGGGCCCGGCGAGATGAGGTAGAAGCACGGGATGATGCCGCCCGAGTAGTTGCTGGGAAGCTTCATGCGCAGGCTGTACACGCCGTACTTGTAATAGTCCTTGGAGTAGAAGACTGGTGGGGGGTGGGGAGGTGGGGAGGTGGGGGGGTGAGGGGTTGGGGGGGTGAGTGGGGGAAAAGGGATGAAAGGCTGTAGGAATGCGCAGGCTGTACACGCCGTACTTGTAGTAGTAGTCCTTGGAGTAGAAGACTGGTGGGAGAGTGGGGGGCGCGGGTCAGGGCTGCGGGTGGAAGGGAGAGAGAGAGAGGGAATTGGAATTGGGCCCTTTAGTTGAATATTGAGACGAATACAGGTCTCAAAACTATCAGGTCGACGTGAATCTCACCCCTTACCCCGCCTCACGTCACAATGCCTCACCCGCAATCTCGGATCACCCTTCATTGAGCCTCAACCCTCACTGCGCCTTACACCGCACTGCGCCTTGCACCGCACTTAACCTCACCCCGCACTGCGCCCCTCACCGCATTGCACCGCACTGCACCTACCTCCGACGGACTGATTCGTGGCGGCGATGGTAACAGTTCCGTTGCTGTCCTTGCGGCAGTTGCTACCCTGGCACCAGTCGGGGAACCTGAAGTATTTGTCGAACGACTTGTCCACTCCCGGCACCTTCTTGCGCGGCGGGATCGTCCACACGAACGGCTTGTCCGTTGAATTGCCTGTTCCGCCCCCGCTCCCGGTTCCGCCCCCGCTTCCTGTTCCGCCCCCGCTTCCAGTTCCGCCCCCGCTCCCAGTACCGCCCCCGCTTCCAGTTCCGCCCCCGGTCCCGGTTCCGCCTCCGGTCCCGGTTCCGCCCCCACTTCCAGTTCCGCTAGTAGAATTTCCCCCGCTGCTCCCGCTTCCCGTTCCGCTGGTCGAGTTACCACCGCCGCTGCCGCTGCCGCTGCCAGTTCCAGTACTATTTGACGTGCCGCTGCCCGTGCTGTTCGTGCCGCTGCCCGTGCTGCCCGTGCTGCCCGTGCTGTTCGTGCTGCTGCCCGTGCTCTTCGTGCTGCCCGTGGTCCCCGTGGTACCCGATGAGCCCGTGATATTGCCGCTGTTCGCGGTGCTTCCGAAACTTCCAGTACTCCCGGTGGAGTTCCCCGCAGTGCTAACAGTTTTGCCGCTCGAACCAGTTCCGCCGGTGCTTCCGGTGCTTCCGCTCGCGCCCGTTCCGCTTGCGGACTGCGTCGTCCCGAGGTTCCCTTTCCCGCTCACGGGGGCGGGGGGAGTCTTCTTGGGGGAAGCGGAAGGTTGCGGTGGGGGGGACTTCTGCGCAGGGGGCTTCTGAGCGGGCGGGGAGCGCGGGTTCGGTTTCGAGGGGGACTTGGACGCTTGTTGCGGGGGCTTTGGGGTCGAAGCAACGCTGCTATTCGGCTTGGAGGGACTCTTATTGCGGGATCCTGTAGGTGGGCTCTTGTTGTTTCCCCCCTTGGGCGGACTTTTATTGCTCGTGCCCTTGGGAGGGCTCTTATTTCCGCCCTTAGGCGGGATCTTGGTATTGGCGCTCGGGTTCCTCGTTGGGTTCGGACTCTTGCTGCTGCTGATGGCCTGCGTTGACCGCGTTGACTCGAATGACGTAGCCTTGGCTGGCCTGCTGATCTGCGCTGACCGCGTTGACTCGAATGACGTGGCCTCGGCTGTGACAACAGCGCGAGCGATCACGACATCCTGCGGGCTGATTACGGATGCCGTTGTAGCGAGGGGTGCGTTGGGATCCCGGAATCTACCCCCGAAATCCGAGGGTACCACGTCTTCTGGTCTGGGGGCAGTGTGGCGCGCCAAGCTGTTGCCGGCAAGCGATCTGCCGGGCCAGTGCGCGGCTCTCCTCGAACGCGCGGACGAATGGAAGGCGGAGGTTCGCGCGAGGAGCGCAAGAGTGGGGAGAAGCAAAAGCGCGGAGCGCCGGCATGGTTGCCGGCAGAACGAACTACGGCCTCTAGAAGTTGCCATCGCTAGCGACGGGTCTCGCCTCGGATGAGGAGGGGAGACTACTGACGTAGATCCAACAGTCTCGTTGTATGAGAACGGGTTTCTCGAAATCGTTTTCCAGTGGGCGATTCCAGTAGTTGATTTAGCAGCAGGCCTCGGCCCTACAGCTCTCCAAGGCTCGACCTGGTGCGCCAAGAGAAGCTAGTGACTGATCGTCCTGAATTCGCTTCAACAGGATCAGAATCTAACGGAAATTATGACTGTTTGTGCAAGCTTTATGTCGATGAGGTGACGCGTGCTATCCCCATTCCAGGTGAATGTCGAATGACATTGCAGGGCAGGGAGGAGGGTAAGGGGAGGTATGATTGGGAAGTTGATGGGAAGGAGAGGGGGCACTAAGCGGTGTGGGGTACAGCACAGCTGGGCTGATTTTTGGCCCGGCGCGATTTGTTGCCTCTGGCCTATCATTGTGCAAATTGCTCGCTAGGAATTTCCTTGGCGGCATTTGGGCGATCCGAGTCGCGTGCAATTCTTCCCAAATGTGCTCGTCAATTTCAGCGATGGCGGATTCTCGGCGACACGTCGAGGCCCCCTGCGAACGCCGTCGGTCAGAAAGGAATCGCCTCGCACATGTGCTGGGCTGGCAAAGCACTGCTTGGAGTGGTCGGTCGGGGCGATCGCGAGTCGCATGCGCGATGCGAAAACAGCGACGTCTCTTGGTTATGAGTTTCGTCGGAATTTCCTTGCCGAGTTGGGGGAACGTTGCCCAATAATTTTGGGGGAACGTTGCCCAATAATTTACATAAGTGTACAATGTATGCATACATAACACTCCGAAGACTACAAACCTAAACTTGATAGGAAGCATTGTAACAGAAACAGTGGCTCCAGAATATTGAAACCAAGTGTTACAATAATATGCTAAAGACACCCTGCTGTCGTTTTCTTGCACAAAAGGATGAGCTCAAAGGAACTTGCAAATGCTACTAGCGTCGTACAAATCATCACGAAAGTAAATGTGCAGCTTGACGCTTATTGCAATGGTTGATATAACATCTCCAGGTTCTGCCTGGTATCCCTACTCGTTATTGCATTGGAGCATGTCGCCCTAGAAGCATTTTCCCTAAGCATGCCACCATAGCAGCAGCATGTGTATCACCAACACCCTCTACGTTATTGCAATAAATAGCCCCTTCCCCACCAGTGGAAGGAGAACAGCGCACCTACGACTAACCCCTATGCTCGAACCACTCGGTTCTCACTTGGCCGGGCCCCAAGGGTAGTCAGCCACAAGGAATTTCTGCCTGTACGTTCTAAAGCGCGCCAGTTGCACTGCTGACGGAACCCCCATCCACGGCGCCCTGGCGAGGTCGCGAAACGCCTTGCAGGGAGGCACGGCGCCGCTGGGCGGCACGCGGCACGTCCTGCTGACGTCGAAGTGGCTGTATTGCACCTTGATCGGGCCGTTCGCGTAGCTGGGCTTGAGCTTGCTCCACGACGACGCGTCCCAGATGGAGCCCTGGAGAGAAATTTGAGGGGCATTCGAGAAATATTGGAAAAGGGTTAACAAGAGCTTCACATTTGGGTAGAAAAGGGCTAGAAAATCACATCGTGGAGAGAAGCACATCGTGGGCTGGAAAAGGGCTAGGGGAATACCATGGAGGCTTGATTCCTTGTGTGGAGGCTAAATGCCACAGTAAAGAAACGCACTATACTGCACCTGAATCCTTGCGTCGTGGTTTCAGCCGTCCGATTCCCTTCGATGTCACCGACTCACCATGATCTTGACGTTGTCGGATGGGAAAGGCTTCCCGGGAGTCCTGGCGGTGATGCGAATTGGCGTATTATCCACCAACCACATCACCCGATCCGGCGAGTACACGATCGTGTACGTGTGAAACGCCGCCGACGGGTCGAACGGGAAGCGGAACTGCTCCAGCTTGACCTGCCCGCCCGTGATGAGATTCGTGTGGATGGTGATGTTGCGCGGGTCCGTGCCGCCGAGGAACTCGAGGTCGATTTCGTCGTGGATCGACTGGTATGACGAGGCGCCGGGCGTGATGAGGTAGATGCACGGGATGACGCCGCCCGAGTAGCCCGCGGGGAGTTTCATTCGCACGGAGTAGATGCCGTAGCTGTACACGCCCTTGGACTCGAAGACTGCAAGGGTGGGGGAGAGAAGGCAGGAATAGCAGGGTGTTAGGGACAGTGTGAGAAGGAGTGACGCAGCTGAAGTCAACATTGGGCATGAAGTATAAGATTTTCCAGTCTCGGTCTTCTTGTACTAGCTTTATCACGCATAATGTCGTCGCATGGTCTAGTCGTATTCGCATGCTATTATCGCATGGCGTTGTCGCACGCTGACGTCGCAGGCTCACCTCCGACTGATTTGGGATTGACGGCGAGGGCGATGCTTCCGTCAGGCGTGCTGGTGCAGAAGGGCGGCTTGCACCACGAGGGGAAGACGAAGTTCTGATTGAACGACACGTCCACTCGCTGCGCGCCGACGACCGCCATGGCGCTCACAACTAGGATTACGGCGAGGAGACGGATTGATAACGCCATGGCTGGAGGGAAGCCTGGCGATCTCGGCGACGAAAATAGGTGCTTCTGATTGTCTGCACTCTCGGATAGGCAGTAAGTGGCTGGAGGACGAATGGGGAGAGGTTGAGGAGAGCAGCAGAAAAAATTATTCCTTCTGGAGTAGCTCTGCAGAAACTTGATCCCAGCCACTTAGTATAAGAGGGTGCTGTGTCACTGTGTGCCGTGCGTCTGCTTGACCAGCTAGCTACTCACAATCCCGCGCTGCGCTATCACCAGTTATCGATGAGGTGGGATGGTTGGCGAAGGGGGGGCTAATTTATTTGTCCGAGGGGCTGGCTTGGCTGCCTACTGCGTGGTTGGTTGCGTACAGTACTTCACTGCGTCGCTGGTTTCTTGTTGATGCGGGGAGCGGGGAGCGTGTGAACGAGCATTCATGCGCGACGCGGCAAGGTGTCGCGGTCACGGGATGCTATATGGCAGTTTGTTTTTCTGCCCACTGAGTACTTCCAACTCACAACGGTTTGTAAATAACACGATATCGAAATCAAATTAATCAAGAAACAGACGGTGGTAAGCCTTTATTGTCTGAAGTGTACATACCCACAAAAAAATACTGGTGGCCCAACTTTCCTTGTCGCAGTTCTGTGCCGTGAAACGCGGCGGCCATGATATGCCTCTTGCGAATCGCAAACCACAATGGCCTCGAAATTGTTCCATCGTGACTAGACTCGTCGGTCACACACTGCAATTGCGGCGACTCGCCATCTAGCTGGAAGTGTAGAGATACAAAATATACAGTAAATGGAGCAACTAGTGGTAAACAGAAGTTTAGTGGAGAAGCATGCTATTTAATGTGGGAACAGCACCATTGTACCCTAAGCAGTGCATGTTTAGCGCTGGGTTCCTACACCAGCACGCCTTGAGCCTTGACTCCTAAACCTAACACGTTCATCAGTAAGACTCCTCTATCTCAGTCTCGCTACTCCTGCGCCTCGTTGTGAAGCAATCACCACTTTCTCCGTCGTGGTTGCAAACCTACCACCACTGGTCACCTCTTCACCATTGCCTTCCTGCCCAGACACTACACACGCGCCCCCTCCCTCTCCACTACTGCTACCAGCCCCCGACGCGTCTATGCAAGAACTAACTATCCCCGAATCTACACCCCACTTAAGCCCCTCAATGTCTGCTGCTTCAAAGACCTCCTGCAGCTTCTGCTCTTCCCTCGTAAGCACCCCTTCCACCTCCTCCCCATGCCTCAGTGCAAACTCCAACAACTTCCTCACTTCCTCCTCCAAGCTACTCCTCCCCATCCCATCCCCTCCCTCACTCCCCCCCTCCCCTACACCCTCTCCACCGCTACCACCACCGGACCTCCTCTCAGACTGGGCCCGAACCACCAGTTCAGCCAGCTCCGCAATCACCTTGTCCTTGCGCCGAACCTCGCGCCGAACCTCTCGCCACCGGTCCTTGGCAATCCCCATGAGCCGAACTAGCACCTCATCCTTCTGTTCCAGACGTCGCTCTAAGCTCTGCCACCTGGGCCCTCTGCCTGGCCGGGGAGCAGCAGCCTGCAGCTGCCTCTGCAGCAAAACCGTTCTAGATATCACCTGCTGCTGCGGCTGCTGGTCGAGCCTTCTTCTCTGGCCTTCCGCCCTGCCGCCTGCTAGACCTGCTCTGCTGCTGCTTGCTCCTCCCGCCCCTCCCCCTGATGCTCTGCTCATGCCACCACCAGCAGCAGCGGCTGCAGCAGCAGCAGTGGCAGCAGCCCACCGCTCCTCCTGCTCCCTTAGCCTCTCCACCAGCCTTGCCACCTCCTCCTCTCGCCGAGCTGACTCAGCACGCAGCGCCGCCACCTCATCCTCCAGCCTGGCAACATCTGCGTCCCGCGCCGCCAGCTGGCGCTCAAGGCCCCCAATCCGCTCCTTAGCCTCGCCTGCCATGGCTAGCAGCTGCTTCTTTGCATGGTCCACATCCCGAACCACAAGGGAGGAGGGAGAGGCCGGCATGGAGTAGGGGAAGCTTGTGCGAGGCGAGGCGGGAACGGCCAGGGAGTAGGGCTGAGGAGCAAGAGAGGACGGCGGGGAGGAGGAGCCGACTTGAGATTCGGAGAGAGAGGACGGGAGAGAGACAGGGGTTGGAGTGTTGGCAGAGGCGCAGGCAGGGCCGAGGGAGAGGGAGAGGGAGGTGGGGCCAGAGAGGGAGGCGGAGGAGGAGGAGCGGGAGGGGTGGGGGGAGCCTGAGGGGGACGAGGAGGAGGTCATAGCCATGTCTAGCGGGCCGCCGAATAGGCCCAGACTAAAGGTCAAGGGACTGTTGGGGTTCATGCGCGGGGGGAAGCCTGACAGGGGAGGAGAGGCAGGAGAGGTACCAGTACCGACAGCAGCAGCGGCTGCAGCGGCGGCGGCGGCAGAAGAGGGAGAAGCGGTAGTGGGGGGAGCAGGAGAGCCAGAGAGGGAGGAGCCAGCATCCCTGTGTGTAGAGGGGTGCGGGCGGTCGGGGAGAGTATCTGGCGAGCTGCTCTTCTTGTCCCCCATTGGCCCGTACGATGACGATGTTGACGTGGCGGTTGGGGGTGGGGATGCTGACGTGGCGGGAGAGGGTGCGAAGGCCGCCGCAGCTGCAGCTGCAGCGGCGGCGGCGGCGGCAGCAGCGGTGGCGTAGGAGGCAGGAGGCGCAGAGGAAGAGTCACTTGTTGTGGGTGTTACTGGGTTGGATGCGGTACTGGTGTTGTTGACAGCACCACCACCAGAACCACCACCAGCAGCAGCAGCAGCAGTCGCTTGAGTTGCTGCAGGCTTGGCAGAGGGTCCACTCGCGTCACCACCACCACTACCACTGCTGCTGCTGCCACTGTTGCTTCCTGACACGCTCGCACCACGGCCTAGTCCAAACGAACCAAAGAGTGACAACAGCCCCAACCCTCTTGCAACTCCCCCTCCTCCACCACCACCACCTCCAGCACTCTGCTCCCTCCTCACCTCCTCCTCCCTTCCCTTCGCCTCTTCCCCACTCCCCTTCTGCTCCTCCACCTTCCCCGTCTCCTCCTCCCGCTCAGCAGCCCCGACCCCCACTACTCCTCTCTCCCTTCCACCCCCTATCGACCCAACCACCCCCTCCTCGTCATCCGTCTCCTCCCCCTCCTTATCTCCCTCGGGAATCACAGGCAGCGCGCCTACCGTCATCTGCGGATCCTCCTCCTCTGCACTGCGCTTCCTCTCAAACCCCTCGGCTGCCACCCGCAGCAGATGCGCCTTCGCCTCCTCCAACCCCATCGGCTTCTCACTCTCCTCCTCCTCTTCCTCCTCCTCATCCTCCCCTCCTCTGCCCCCTCCGCTGCTGCCTTTCCTAGCAGAGCTACCTCCGCCCTTCCCCTTCATCCCTGCATCAGCGCCGGTGCCAGCAAGAGTCAGCCCTGCAAGCAGTGCTTTTCTGTCCCCGCCTCCACCGCTCCCCGCCCCTGATCCGCCTCCCTTCCTCCCCCGCTCCTGCTCCTCCTCCTCCTCCTCTCTCTGCCGTTCCAGCAGCTCGTTAAACCGCTCCTCCCGCTGCTTCTTCTCTCTCTGCCTCTGCTGCTCCTCCTTCCGCCTCTCCCTCTCCGCCTCAGCCTGCTTCTCCTTCTCCTTCTGCTGCTGCTCCTCCACCTGCCTCTGCTTCACACGTGCCAGCATCAACTCTAACCCTTTCAATTCCTTCTGTAACTTTCCCACAGGAACATCTTGTTTCTGCTGCCCCCCGTCGTTGCCTCCTTCCCCATGGGCCTCCCCTGCCCCGTCCCCAGCCTCTGTTACTTGCTTCTTATCCCCGTCCCCAGCCCCTTCACCTGGTCCCTGTCCTTGTCTGTCCGCCCCTTGTCCTGCTGCGTCCAAAGCATTGGCCGTACTCACGTCTGTCTTCTCCCTCTCTCCAGGTACCGAGCCTGGTGCAGATTCCGTCCCAACTCCTACTGATGCTGCTCCCACTGCTGCTCCCGCTGCCGCTCTTGCTGTGTCACCACCAACAGCGGTAGCAGCATCACCACCACCAACAGCAGTAGCAGCATCACCAGCACCACCAGCTGAAGTCGCAGTACCGACAACGGCAGAGGCAGAAGCACTGCCACGAGCAGCAGCAGCAGCAGCACCACCAGCAGCAGCAGCAGCAGCAGCAGCAGCAGCAGCAGCAGCAGCAGCACCACCACCACCACCACCACCACCACCACCAGCAGCAGCAGCAGCAGCAGCAGCAGCAGCAGCAGCAGCAGCAGCACCACCACCACCACCGCCACCAGCAGCAGCAGCAGCAGCAGCAGCAGCAGCCTCTCTCTTCCGCCTCTCCCTCTCTCTGGAAGCAGCAGTCAGCTCCGCCAGGGCGCGCTGCAGATGCACCATGCGATGCACTCCCCCTCCCCCTCCCCCTCCCCCTCCGCCCCCCTCCCCCTGCTCCTCCTCCCCTGCACTACTCTCATCATCCTCATCGTCATCGTCATCATCCCCCCAGCTAATCTCCCTCTCCATTGGTGATTCTTCCTCACTCGTTCCCTCCCACCTCCCCTCCTCCTCCCCATCCCCGTCGCTTCCCCCCTGCCCCTCCCCCTCTCCGCCCTCTCCCCCGTTCCCCAGGCCCGCGTTCCCCCGCTCCGCGCTTCCCCCGCGCGCCTGTCCGCGCGCCCTCAGCGCAGCAGCCTGCGCCAGCAGCTCGTCTACTTTGGACCGCATCTCCTTTCTCCCCGTATCCGCCTTATCCGCGTCTCCGCTACCAGCATTGGGCACCGCGTCAGGCATCCCATTCCCACGAATCCCGTCACTGGTCTGCTTTCCCGCGTCTTCTCCGCCCTCTTGATGCCCGTCGTTCGAGGCCGAGACAGGCGCAGGTGTCGAGACAGGGACAGGTGACGAGACAGGCACAGGAGAAGGCACAGGAGCAGAGGCAGGCACAGGAGCCGAGACAGGCACAGGAGAAGAGGCAGGCACAGGGGGGGTCAGAGGCGCAGCAGCAGCTCCCTCGCCTTCCTCTGCCTTCCCTACTGATCCCCCAACGACGCCGTCTCCTACCTTCTCAAGTCCCCCATTCTCTACCGCACTACCCCCTTCCCTCCCCCCTTCCCCCTCGCTCCTCCCATCCGTCCCCCCTCCGCCATCCGTCCGTTTCCCCTCATCCCCTGCAAGCACCACCACCACACTCTCCAGCCCCTCAACGCCCTTGCTCGCACCCTCCTCGCCCTTGCTCGCCACCTTAACGCCCTTATTCCCCCCCTCCTCTTGAGACCTCTCAGCGCCTCGCCTCTCTTCCAGCTCCTGAGGCGTCTCCGGGACTTCACTCTCAGGCTCCCCCTCCTCCTCTGTATGCGCAGCCACTTTCCTCTCCGCATTCTCCGCCAGTGGCCGCCCGTTTTGCTGCTGTTCATCTCCTGCCACCCGCATTCCCCGCTGCCTCTCACTCTCGGCCAGATTCTTGCTGTCTGCCGGCGCTTGCCGCCCAGTTTGCAGCGTCCCTACTTCCGTCACAGGCGGGCTTTCAGACGGCTCATTACATTTCCCACCCTCGCCAACCTCCCCACTCTTCACACCATCCCCACTCTCCGACACAGAATTTTCCTTCTGCAGCCCGTTTTCGCCATCTTTTCCATTCACCTCTCCCCCAACCTCCAACCCCACTCCCTCTCCTACCCTCTTCTCCTCTGTAACTTTCTCTCCCGCCTTCTCCGCCACATTATTCCTCTCACCCTCCTTCCGGTTCTCGCTCGCACCACTGGCAATTCCATTAGCCTCTGCCTGCATGACTGCGCCGCCCGCTGCCGACGCTGGTTGAGCCGTCGGAGCGGGCTTTAAGCTCTCAATTGACCGAGGCGGATTCTCGTCAGTTGGCGGGAGGCGATTATTCGTATCAGCCAAAACATGATTTCCTTCATCAGTCACTCCAATCGGTTCAGGAACTACGCCTGCTGACTTGGCTTCATCGCCTTCAACCGTGACAGGCCGGTTTGTACCTTGGTCTAGTGCGCCGTCCTTGCTAGCAGTGTCGGCGCCATTCTCCTCGGGAGCCACGCGAGACTGTGAGGGTGACAGCCCGAAAAACGTCCCCCATCCCGGTCCTCCACCGCTCATGCCTCAATTGTGACACTAACCAGCCGAGAGATTACAAGATACGTTTTTTATTATTTTGTTTTGACCGTGCTAAGTGGCGTGCTGTCTGATGGTCGGTGAAGGTACGCTCTGGAAAATAGCGATAACGGGCGGACCCAATGCGAGACGCCAATGGACGATTTGACTCACTATGCGTTCGACGCAGCGCTATCAGGTCTCATTGACCTAAACTACATATGCATCGAGTAGGACGAAGGGCTGTACGGAGATATTGCGTTGTGAGAGGTGTGGCTGATGGTGGGGAAAGGGTTCTGCATGGTGGTTGGGTTGAGGTGATGAGATTTTGCCTTGGAAATTGAGCGGTTTGGGTTTGACAACGGCTAATTTGGAGAAATTGTACCTCGGCTAATTCCAAGACACCAAACTTTTGAATAAAGAGTAAAAGTGCCATTGGTATCTCTTAAAGGTAGTCAATTTGCCTTTCTATGCTGACTGAAGTCGTTTCTACCTCGCAAGTGGGGCACAGCTGGCTTGTGGGATGGTAAAAAAAATGACTCTCTGTGCAGAGAATGTGGAATGGATAGTCCGAAAGTCCAAGGGAATCTAGAGAACAACTCGAAACAGAAACATGTTTCCCACTGCACCAATGAAAATTCGATCATTTCTGGCGCGAACATCGATCACCAGTGGCAACCGTTGAAACAGTGTAGACCTCCCAGGGGACCTTGAGAAAGTGGATAACGTACAGTACAGATGATACAAGCATGTATTTGTGGCGAGGTTTGCTGTGGCGAGGCAAATCGATCACTTCAATTTGGCGCAAACACGAAGGCGCAGGTCAGCTAGGCTGCCCCCCAGATGCCAAACCAAGATCGTTCCACACACTGTGGAAATAATTTCTTATCGAGTAGACCTGACCGAGAGCCTTCACCCCCAACAAGCCAGCAGCACATCAAGGAACAATTCACGCAGGAGTTCCCAAGGCGCCGCGGTAATATGCCAGATGTGCCTCCACCCGCCGACGTTTTTCACTTTTCTCGGAGGTCGGGCAGGGACTTCTGGCCCAGGGCATGTCTTTTCCCTCTTTTTCGTGGGCTGCCAACGAAGCAACTCCGAGCCAAGAGCAACGGATTGCCTGTCAGGTTGTTCGTTGACATTTCACCAACCTCGACGCTGTCGAACCGAAAATCGGGGGACTCAATAGTGCGAATTGTTGCTCTGAATTCGTTGACAACAACACATCCATTTCTTCAGTCATTCTGAACTCCCACTCCCAGATCTCACTTCTGCTTCTTCATCCACCTTCACTGGTGGGTAGGTGACGGATCTAGGAGTTTTCATTGCCGTTTGTAGTTTAGCCAGGATCTTGCAGTGTTTCCGCACGCCCGTCACTTTAGGGCTTGCCCTTACCCATAGTCATGGCATCAGGAGACGAAATCCCGCCTGTTGTCGAAGACGTCTCGCAAATCGGAGGGGACGCTTCGCAGACGGAAGCCCCATCCGCGGAAATTGCCGATTCAGCTCCGTTGGAATCGGCCGATGGCATATCGAGCTCTGCAGGATTCGAACCCGCGGCCGGTCCCGATGGAGCTGACTCTGGCTTCGCGCCAGCGGACGTTCCGGAGCTCGCGGCGGTCCCGGAGATGGCGGCAGAACCGACGATCACGCATCGCGAGTTTTATTTCATCAGAATTCCGCGTCCGGATCTGTCGGCGGAGATCGGCAAGATCAAGGCGGTGGAGCAGCGGGTGAAGGAGAAGCGCGACAAGCAGCAGGCCGTTAGTGCCGCGCTTCGCGCGAAGAAGGTATCGAATCGCACATATTTTATCTTCTGTGTGCACAATGTCACGGAGCTCGTCATATGATGCCCTTTGATCTCAAGATCCGCTTGTCGAATTTTATTTTATTTTCAATTGCGATGTCTTAATTGTTGCTCCCGTTCCTGTTCTCGCTGACACAGGCGCAATGGTCGGAGGCCTTCGAAGCGCTCAAGGCCGCGCGGGCGCGCGCGCGGGATTGTTCGCAGGACGTGCGGAGCAAGTTCGACGAGGCGAAGCCGCTGCAGGGCGTGCTGCGCAAGATGAACGAGAGCAAGGCGAGCGTGCGCGACAGGGGCCGCGGGCTCGAGTGCACCACGGAGGCGCAGCTCAACGCGCTGGTAAGCCAATCAGCATCCTGTGTTGCTTCGCTAAGAATGCTGAATAAATTAAAAGTTCTGGACCTCGAATTTGCTCAATGAAAGCTCGTGAGTGCTGATCCCGTGACCAATCTGTCAGTTAAATATGCTACGATGAAATACGAGTCTGTTTCACACATGTCACCTCGTTTACATGAGCGAGCTTTGCGACTCAAGCAACCTGCTGTCTCTAACCTTTGCAATTCTTGGCTCGCGAAGCGGATCGCCGTATGTTGCGGAATTAAGTGTCTACTGCGAGCTTTAATATATTTCCATCCCACCCATGCCGTCCTCGCCCGTCCCTCCCTTACTCTATTCCCATCCCACCTGTGCCGTCCTCGCCCGTCCCGCCCTGACTATATTCCCGTCCCGCAGATCGCGGCGACGGAGCACCGCATGCAGCACCCATGCCGTCTCACCCACCCATGCCGTCCCACCCATGCCGTCCCACCCATGCCGTCCTCGCCCGTCCCGCCCTTACTCTATCCCCATCCCGTAGATCGCGGCGACAGAGCACCGCATGCAGCACGAGACGATATCGCTCAAGGAGGAGAAGCAGCTGATGAAGGAGCTCAAGGAGCTGGAGGCGTCGCGCCCCAAGGTGAAGGAGATGGAGGCCCTCACCGCGTCGTTCCAGGAGAGCCAGGGCCAGCGCGACTCCATCCAGGAGCGCCTCAAGGTAACGCGCGTGTTGGTGTGCTGGTGGGAAGGCTGGGAATGCTGGGAATGCTGGGAATGCTGGGCATGCTGGGAAGGCTGGGTGGGAATGCTGGGTATGTTGGGAATGCTGGGAGTGATGTGAATGTGCCGTGGATATCTGGTCGATGTAACTGATGTACCGTCGTGTGATGGTCATGGTGTAAATCTTCTTGTTATGGTGGCTTTTTCTTCCCCGCGCCCACCTTTCCTCCTTTGACCCGACCTTGCCGGGCGGGTGCCCACACTTCTGTCACACGTCCGCTTCCCCTTTTCCGCCGTTAACCCTCGTTCCCCATCCATCCCCCACTCGCCCAACTTCCCCCTTCCTCCCCACCCTCCCCGCCTCTCGCCCTCGCTCCATCTCCCTCCTTCAATCCAGCCGCTGATGGCGGAGGTGGACGTGCTGAAGCTGGAGCGCGACGCACCAAGTCATACATCCCCTTCCTCTCTCCGCCCTTGATCCCCCTCCCCGCTCCACCCTTGATCCCCTCCTCTGATCCAGCCGCTCATGGCGGAGGTGGACGTGCTGAAGCTGGAGCGCGACGCGGCGCAGAAGATCTGCGCGACGCTCGAGGCGGAGGCGGCGGCGCTAGACGAGGAGGTGCAGGCGCTGTTCGGGGAGCGCAACAAGGCGCAGCTCGACGCGGACAAGGTCTACGACGAGCTGCGCGCCGCGCGCGCCGCCACCAACAAGAAGGTGCGCGGGTTTTGCTTTCCGCCCTCCCGTTCCGCGCCGCCTCCCTCCCCAACCCCCCTCCCCCCACACCCCCACCGCACCCCCCGCCCCTTCCCCTGGCTGCCCTATTCCCGCGTCCCGCGCCAGTACAGCAGATCTTGTCATTCTCCCACTTTCTGCGGCTGCCCCTTTCCCCTTCCGCCGTCCTTCCCCTCGCCTCCCGCTCCTCTCCCCCGCTGCTTTCCGCCAGTATTGCGGGAAACGAGCTCATTTGTAGTTGCATCAAGCACGGCCGTCCTCTGTCTTATCCCCTCTCCCCTTTCCGTTCCCCCACAACCCTTTTTCCCCCTCTCCGCCCCTCTTCCCACCTCTCCCTCCCTCCCTCCCCTCTCCAACGGCAGGACGAGGATTTTCGGCAGTACCGAGCGGACCTGGCGACGATTCAGGAGCTCGCTTTCAGTTGCCACGAGGCATTGCCGTCCTCTGCTTTATAGACTATCCCCTTCCCGCTCCTCCCCTCGCCCCCACCCCCCAACCTCCAACGGCAGGACGAGGATTTCCGACAGTACCGCGCGGACCTGGCGACCATTCAGGAGCTCGCATCCAAGAAGGACGTGGCGGCGCTCGAGGCCTTCTGCGAGCAGCAGGTGCGCCTGGGTTGTCAGGCTTTAAGTGTGCGCCTGGAGTTGTGGGGCCGGGAATGGCGGCGTGAATGGCGACTGGGCTGATTGTGGGTTCGGTTGCAACGCAAGCATGAGACGTCTGGGGATGTAACGCGAGCATCAGGCGTGCTTTAAGACGTCCCAGTCGTGGGCAGCAGGCATAACATGGAAGGAAGGAACGGAATGGAATGGAATCGAATTATGCATCACACCCACCCGCCCTCCCACCGTACTCTTATGTATCCGCCCTCCGATTTTCTCACTCCCACACCGCTCCCTCCCGCTCTGCTCATATTGGCTCAGAGGGAGCGCACGCATCTCCGGCTCAACACGGATGCGGCGTACCGAGCGGCGTACGTGGAGGCGAATCGCTACAGCACCATCCGCCGCTTCCGCTCGCTGGACACGCGCAGGCTCGGTGTGGACGAGGACCCCGCGAACCTGCTCGACGTGCCGTCCCGAACCTACGCGCCAGCTTCGGCGCCCGCGGCTTCCGCGGCGGCTGGGGAGGCGCGGGTGGGGAGCGGGGCGGAGAAGAAGGGAAAGGGGGCCGGGGAGAAGGAGACGGGGAAGGCGGCTGGGGGGGAGAAGGGTGCAGGGGGGAAGGGGAAGGGGGAGGCGGCGGAGGGCGCAGGGAAGGGGGCGCGAGGGGCCGCCACAGCAGCAGCTGCGGCAGGCTGGGGGGATGAGGAAGCGGACGTGGGGAAAGGGAAGGGGGAAGGGAAGGCGTGGAAGGAGAATGGAGTAGTGATAAAGGCACCGGAAACAAAGGTAGAGGAGGTGGATGAGGAGGCGGAGAGGGAGAGGC